GAAGTGGCATTAGAAGGAGGGTGAGAGGGTCAGGGTGAGCACCCTGACCAGACTGCCCCGCGTCCATCTGCTCCCTATTCTACTTCCCAACACCACACCACTGCATGGTCGCATGTGGACATGGAGACGACAGAGGGTGCAGCCATGGGCATCGTAGGATGGCTTGCAGACCCGGAGGCGATAGAAGGGAGATGATGGGGGAGCAGCCACAGCTCCGCATGGCTGCCTGCAGACACGGAGATGACAAGGGACGGAACCATGGAGGTCATAGTGCCGCTTGCAGACATGGAGATGATGGAAGGAGTTCCCCAATACTGGTGTGGGGTCCGAGCAGGACCTGCGATTTTTTTTCTCCCAGTGCGCAATCTGTCTTAGTGGGAGGAGAGCTGTTTAGCTGGTGGAGATGGACTATTGCCGCCTTTTTTCCTTATTTTTTCCTTCTTATTCACGACTAAGAACCTTTCTTAATGCTTTAATATGTTCTCATTTTTATTCTTTTAACTCTTTTCATGAAGTGGATACAGCTGCAGACCAGGAGAGGACCCGACTCCGGGACCATAGCCACTTCGGGGCAAAGTGGCATAGAGGGAGGGTGATGTCAGGGTTCAGCACCCTGCCTTAGGGTGCCCCGGACTCCCCACCTACTTTACCCCCTTTTATTCTTTGACTGTTGCCTTGTTGTTGCCTTTGTGTGTTGTGTACACGCGCGCGCACGGGATAGCGTGGGAACTTTCTGAGTGAGCAGCTCGCCCAGAATGTTCCCACGGGTCACAGCCACAGTTCTGGGCAAGCAACTCGCCCAGAACGTTCCCACGCTTACTGGGCACTGCCACCTGGATGTTCCCTCCGGGTCACACTACACAACTCTAGGAGCTGTATAGTTGTGGGCATGTGACCCATTCCTTTATATAGCAACCATGCGGGGAGATGAGACCTTTACCCTTCTTCTCATCTCATGCCCCGCATAGGCAAGTGTATATATTATCTTTCCTTTTACTATACATCTCATGCCCCGCATAGTGTGAGGACAGGCCAGATGGGGGTTGAGGTCAGGGAGCCTCCGAGTCCGAGGCCGGGCCCTGACAGAAGTGAACAATGGAGAGAATCCCTTTCCTTAGAAAGGGCCGGCCTTCCAGATGGAAAGGCAACAGAGAAATGAGCACAGTACAAAGGAGCACCGCGCATTTTGGGGACCTGGCACTCAATAGCGCCAGGAATACACAGATCCTTCCTTGGAGGTGGAGTGTCTGTTGGTAAGACAGATCGTTCACTATGCAGTGAACGACAGATGAGAACCCTTTTCCAGATGGAAAGGCAACAGGGAAATGAGCATGGTACAAAGAAGCACCACGCATTTTGGGGACCCGGCACCCAATAATGCCGGGAACACACAGACTTTCCCAGAAGTGGAGTGTCTGTGGGCAGAACATATCGTTCACTATGCAGTGAACAATAGATGAGAACCCTTTCCTTAGAAAGGGTTGGTCTCCCTTCCGCAGAAGGGGTGGAGAATAATGAATCACCAAAATCATGATGTGGAACAGCATCGCGCATCTTGGTGACCTGGCACTTAACAGCGCCAGGAAAGCATCCCTCTTGGCCTGCAGAGGGCCAAGGAGGCGGTTCGGATTCGACTTCCTGCAGAGTGGAGGGAGTAGGTGCTGCTGGGTTGTCAAACCCAGGAATTTCCGAAGCACTGGGCAGCTCTATGAGCTGGCACTTGGCAGCAGCTGAAGCGCTGCCGATTCCATCTATAACCACGATAGATGAGAACCCTTTCCTTAGGAAGGGTTGGTCTCCTTTCCGCGGAAAGGGTAGGGAATTATGAACCACCAGGTCCGTGGTCCGGAGCATCCTGGTGACCTGGCACTCAAAAGTGCCAGGAAAAACGCTCCTCTTGGCGTGAAGAGGGCCTCTGAGGCCCTTCAAATCCATCCTCCCTCAGATCAGGATGAGTAGGGGGTTGGGAGTGTGTGAGTATCTGGGTTGTCAAACCCAGGAATTGCCGAAGCGCTGGGCAGCTCTATGAGCTGGCACTTGGCAGCAGCTGAAGCGCTGCCGATCCCATCTAAAACAGATGGTAAACAAGTCGCTTGGGCCCTCACAATGTCGCTAGATCGACACTTGGCTCCCACTGGGGCAAGAGAGTCAATGAGACTTCCACACAGCAAAGCGCTGGGTGGCTCGGTGCGGTCACACTCTACAGCATTAGAGGAATGGTTATTCCGTCCCAAACTGGGCGGAAGGGAAGTCTCAGTATGCTTTTCTAGTGTGCAAGTGAGTGGGGAGGGAAGTCAGGCCTGAGTGGCCATGGGTGGGTCAACTCGTGTTTTAGTCCACGGTTCTAACTTTGTTGACGCGTTCACATAATACTCATGCACTCTTGAAATAGGGAGAGCGGGCCCATGATGGTGAACGTGAGGGTGGCAGTAGGACAGACACCAAGTGGGATTGAGATGCTGTGACAGGTTCAGCATCTCCTGAGATGGTACAATGCGTATGAGATGCGTTGCTGGGCCCTCACGGGCCCAGATCACCACTTGCAGATGGAGTGGTGTTGACTCCCACCATAGGACTGGAGGAAGGGCCAGCTGTGTGGGTGCGAGTCCGGAACTTCCTGGTTGTGAGCATCAGGAAGTGAGATCAAAGGTTCCAGTGTGAACCTTGATTGAATGTGCTGTCAGGGACTGGTCCGGGGTCAAGAGCGTCCAGGTATATCGCCTGGCGCTGAGGGCCCAGTGGGGTATGAAGTGGGCGCATGCGGCAACGGGTCCGGCACAGGCAGACGTCCCTGAAGTGGGAATGGTGAGAAGAAGACTGCTTCTCTGGTTCCCACCCCAGGTATGTTTATATACATGGTGCTCAGGTCACATGAGAGTTGCCACGTCATCCCCATGCACAGCCCCAGCCACCCAGGTATCCCCATGGGGGATCCCGAAGGGATCCGCTGCAGGCATGCATGCTGGGTGTACCCAGGGGTCATCCAGAGCATCCAGGGTTGGGTGCATCGTGCATGGGTCACAGGCAGGTTAGTAGTACATCAATCAAGGGAAGTCGTCCATGTGGGTGGGGGTGGGGGGAGTAGAGAATGAGACAGAGAAGAAATAAGAAGAGGGGGAAGTGGAGGGAGGAGGAGATAGGGAGGGGGAGAAGGGGGTAGCGGGTGGAGTGGAGCCGGGTGGAGCCGGGTGAGGCAGGTGTGCCCTGACATGTGTGCATCGTCAGGGACAACGATGCATGGGTTGCCAAATGGGGTTCTGGCACCGGTGTCGTGGTAGCTTCCCAGATCCTGAGATTGGGAGGGGTTGCCTCTACTCTGAGGCACAGCCTAGGTGAGCGTGCGTCTAGGAATGGCGCACGCGCGATTTGCGCATGAGAACTAGGCGCAAATGCGCGTTGTCAGGGTAGACAACGCATGTGGGACACAGCAGGGTTCCGTCACCAGTCACGGTGCCGAGATTGTAAAAGGAAACTAGCTTAAAAAAGTGAAAGGTTGCTTACTTATTTGGGGATGGTAACGTTCCATTCCCCCGTTCACCTCAGGCCTCAGTTAGTCCATCTAAATATAAGCTTAAATGTGCTGTATATTCAACGGGGTAGAGGTAAAAGGCTACTGGGCCTTTACAACTACTCCGAGGTATATATATGTAAATTACATATCTCGGCGCAAATAAATAAAGAAATAATAGCATCACTATAATGGGAATTATAGTGATGCAACATAATGATATCACTATAATCGGAATTATAGTGAAGTAAGGTTAATCCCTTACAACATGCCAGGTACACAGTGAAAATGACAAAGAGCTAGTGAGTCATTCCGATTCATTCTGTCCAGATGCTGTAGAATGGACAAGGGATCAGGATACACAGAGGGAAGTTGCTGAAAGCGTTGCAGAAGGAGTTGCATGTCGTGAAGGGTATCAGGGCCATGGTGATCAGAGAGGTGAACCCCAAAACTGAGACAAACGCTTTTACAGAGCTCATAATCACAAGAAGGAGAGAGAAGGAAGTGGTGGAGTTGAGAAGGATGGACCTCGATAGTGGGCAAATGATCCCGTTCTTGCACACAACCCAGGAGCACAGAACCATAGCAGTCAGCATTCACAATATGTCATATCAAGCATAATCGTTTATCATTAATTGTTAAAGATGCAAAGTGTAATCCGTGTAGGTATGCATACTGGGAGATTGTGTGCGAGGATAGATGGAAAGCACAAGAAAGGAAAGAATATGGCCACAACCCTGGGGACATCAGTTACAAATAGGTGTGGATGTAGCAACAACTCACTTGTATCGGGAGTGAACATGAGCTTTTTCAGGTGATATGATGGGTCAGTGAGCTTGGGAGGAGAAGTCAACGGAGAGGGGTGAACGAAGGAGTTACATAAGCAGTGGACCCTAGGTTTGGAGGGAGTGAGGACCCCAGGAAATAGAACTATATGGGGCAGATAATGGACCTTGGGTTTCGGGGACATGCAGGACCCTGTGCATAGGACAATTCAGTTGGGGAGAAAAAAACGCAGGACCCGCTACGGAGTAGCGGGAATTGGCGGTTGCCTCTTTGGGCCGACGGTGGTCCCACAAAAGACAAAGCAACAACCAAATAGAGCGACATTGTAGTGGAGAATTACTACAATCATTCTAGAAACCAGTGCGTGAGCATTGCTTATGCAGACTGCAGCAAACAAAACATTCCACATCCCACAGCACGGCACGAATTAGCACTATAAAAATAGAAGTAAATCGCGTTTACTTGCCTGCCGAGTTTCACGTTCATACAGTCTGCCGTTAGAACGTCGTCTGCGACGCAAGTTTAGCGCCGGGCCAGTCTGACAAGATCGGTACAAATACACGTAAACAAAGTCACTTAACCCCGGCGCAAGCCCTTACTGCGCTCGAAGGACCATCTTTGAATGGGCGGTGGGGACATACCCCTCGAACCTTTGACAAACTATAAATCTAAAATACGGAGTCAGCGTCGCGCTACACCTCCATTCATGCGCTCTGCACGGACTACTGCCACCATCGCGAGTTCTTCTCGATCCAGGCCTGTGAGACGTGGATCCCGATACTCAGATTCTACAGAAGATGACACTAGGAGGCTATTAGAACCATCTGAAGAGCTTTACGATGGCGATGACGACGAGGCTGATGAGGAGACCCGCTTGACATCTGGCGAGCCAGAAACGAACGAAAGACTTGGCACGGTACGTTTCTCATTGTGGTCTCATGGCAGTTCATCTTTAACGAGTCTCCCTAAGGACTCAAGGCCTGTTTTTGCCAGTATGACTGGTAAAGATCGCTCCCGAACGATCCCTTTCAGGCCTTCAGGTAATGGATGTGGCCCCGTACCACCTAGTGACACTGATCCTCTCGTCACCAGAAAAATTACAAGCCAAATTTCCACCCAACGTTGTCAAAAACCAGAAGTACAATATCTTTACCTTCCTCCCCTTAGTTTTTTACGAGCAATTCAAGTTCTTTTTCAACCTTTATTTCCTACTTGTTGCTTTGTCCCAATTTGTACCCGCGCTGAAGATAGGTACACCAATTTGTCATCTTTAGTGGAAGTTGTTAATATTAACGCATTGACCAGGTTTCATCGTCACATATGTTGCTCCCCTAGCATTCGTTTTGTCCGTAACGATGGGCAAAGAAGCATATGACGACTATCAGAGACATCTTCGTGACCGAGAGGCGAATTCCCAAAAATATTCCGTCTTGGACGCGCAAGTGCTCCCTTCGGGTGACTCAAACGACATAGAGAATGAAGGGGCTCCACACGGGTCTCCCAAAATCCGGGCCGTGCCTTCCTCGCAACTGAAAGCTGGTGACCTTGTCATTCTGGAGAAAAACCAACGAGTTCCTGCCGACATGGTCTTACTCAGAACCTCGGACTCTAATGGGACATGTTTCATTCGTACGGATCAGTTAGATGGAGAGACAGACTGGAAGCTACGGGTGGCTGTCCCTTCCTGTCAGAAGATATCATCAGAAAACGATCTAGTTTCTTTAGATGCAGAAATATATGGTACGCTCCAACTTGACAAGCCAACGTACCGTCGCCCAATTAGATCTTCGATTTTTAGCGGATCCCCCTGTTAAAGATATCAACACTTTTATTGGCACATTCTCCGTCCAAACAATACATTCAATCAATGGTCAAGATGTACCATTAAATCCCAAAGTGGAGCCGTTAACGGTCGACAATGTCCTGTGGTCAAACACGGTGCTAGCAGCCGGGACCGCAGTCGGGTTTGTCATCTATACTGGCCCCGAAACTCGCGCTGTGATGAACACAAGTCACCCCGAAACCAAGATGGGATTGCTTGATTTGGAGATAAATCAACTGGCAAAGGTTGCCACACGCCCAAGAGTCCGTCAGTTGCGTTTGCTGATCATACACGATATAGATTCTGTGCACGGTGACGTTTGCCCTATCCATAGCCCTTGTAGCCCTCAATGGGTTCAGGGGTCTGTGGTATGTCTATATCTTCCGATTTTTGATTCTATTCTCCTCTATCATCCCTATAAGGTCTGTATTTGTCGTTTATATCAGCGCATCACTTTTCTAAGAATCGGTCTCGATTAGCTTGCGCGTCAACCTAGATATGGGGAAAACGGTATACGCACATCAAATTCAGAACGACCCGGAGATCCCGGACACCATCGTCCGGACGAGCACGTTACCAGAGGAACTTGGGAGGATAGAATATCTCCTGAGTGATAAGACAGGGACACTTACTCAAAACGGTGAGTTGGATCAATTTTGGGACTCCAGACATTCCTAATAATTCGTTCAGAGATGGAAATGAGGAAGTTACACATGGGTACTATGTCATTCGGCTTGGACTCCATGGATGAAGTTAGCAATCAACTATCAATTGCATTTTCCGACGGTCGAGAAGGTCGGTATATATAAGCCCACCATGTAGCTGCTGAATTGACATTTCCTCAGCTAAAGGGCTACCGTTACCAACCCTTCCGGCGGGTGTCCAGTTGGCGGGAAGAGGGAGGCGAGATATGACGTCTCGGATTCGTGATGTGGCTCTTGCCCTTGCTCTGTGTCATAATGTGCGGTACATTGCCATTGTCTAGACGTTTCTGATTTCCATTTCTAGGTTACGCCGGTAATTAATGATGATGGCACAGTTTCGTACCAGGCATCATCACCAGATGAAGTCGCTATTGTTAGATGGACTGAGTCTATTGGACTCACTCTTATCGCTCGCTCCCGTACCCATATTGATTTGCGAACTCCGACTGGATCAACATTGTCATTCGCTGTTCTAGAGCTTTTCCCCTTTACCTCGGAGTCCAAAAGAATGGGCATTATAATCAAAGATCTTCAAACGAACGAGATAACATTCCTCCAGAAGGGGGCTGATGTTGTAATGGCGCCCATTGTACAGAGGAACGATTGGCTCGAAGAGGAGTGTGCCAATATGGCCCGCGAGGGCCTCCGAACTCTTGTCATGGCGCGACGGAAGCTTTCTGTTGAAGTGTACGATGCCTTCGTACAAGCTTATCAGGAAGCGAGTGTTTCCCTTCAAAATCGCAATGAAAACATGGCAGCAACCGTGGCACGACATCTTGAGCACGATCTGGAGCTTCTAGGTCTGACTGGGGTTGAAGACAAGCTTCAAGATGGTGTCCGATCGACCCTGGAACTTCTTCGAAATGCCGGACTCAAAATATGGATGTTAACTGGAGACAAGATCGAAACTGCGACAGTTATTGCGATTTCCACGAAGCTAGTGGCGCGTAATCAGTACATTCACACCGTCTCGAAACGTAGGTATTCCGTGGCCGATCAAATAACGATTATATCCTTAAATTTTGTTCCCAAGTGTCCAATACAGACGACGCAAAATCTGAGCTGGAATTCTTACAGTCCAAGCCCGATTGTTGCCTAGTGATCGACGGCGTGTCTCTACAGGTAAGCATCCGCCAGATATAACTAGAGGGGTCTCTAACATTTAAGAACAGCTTTGCCTTGATCAATTTCGGATTCAGTTTATCGAGATTGCTACCAAACTTTCAGCAGTCGTGGCTTGCCGGTGCTCGCCCACTCAGAAGGCCGATGTCGCGCGCTTGATACGGAACTTCACGAAGAAAAGGGTATGCTGTATCGGGGATGGAGGGAATGACGTCAGTATGATTCAGGCAGCGGACGTCGGTATGTGATCTTCTGCGTCTTGGCATGGTGCTTTATTAATTATGGCTTGCTGACAGGTGTGGGCATTGTCGGGAAAGAGGGGAAACAGGCTTCATTGGCTGCCGACTTCTCAATAACCCAGTTCAGTTACTTGACTAAGCTCCTCGTCTGGCATGGGCGTAACTCGTATAAGCGATCGGCCAAGTTGGCCCAGTTCGTTATCCACCGTGGTTTGATCATTTCAATCATGCAAGCCGTGTTCTCAGCAATCTTCTACTTCGCTCCCATAGCCCTATATCAAGGTTGGCTGATGGTTGGTTACGCTACCACTTACACTATGGCGCCGGTCTTCTCGTTGGTGCTTGATCGCGACGTTACTGAGGATTTGGCGTTGATTTATCCTGAGCTTTACAAAGAATTGACGAAGGTGGATCCAATTCATCCATGTTTGGATCTGGATCCTTACTTACGTCCTTTGAAGGGTCGAGCCCTGTCTTACAAGACTTTCTTTATGTGGCTGATGATCAGTGTTTATCAAGGTCAGTCAGAGGTGCTCTATAGGGTGGCAGTTTTTACGGAAATCCATCCTCAGGTGGTGCTATCATGATTATGAGTTTATTGCTATTCGAAAATGAGTTCCTGAACATTGTTGCTATCTCATTTACCGCATTGGTTTTGAACGAGCTTTTCATGGTTGGCTTGGAAATAACAACTTGGTAAGTCCATTACTGTCAATTAGTTAGATCACAGTCTCACTGTGAATTACTAGGCATCTGTATATGATTATCGCCGAAATCGTGACACTCTTGATATATATCATCAGCATGGCTTTCCTGCCTGAGTATTTTGGTTCGTCTTCTGACTCTCTTGATCTCACTTCTCATACTCACGATTCCTCAGATCTGTCATTTGTTGTGTCTGCGACATACGCTTGGAAGGTGACATTGATCGTAGCCGTCAGCGCTTTCCCTTTGGGCATCATCAAGCTTATTCGTAGTCGGGTACATCCTGCGACTTTTACGAAACTATCGTAGACGCTCGACCATTCTTATGTGTGTTATCGATATTTACCTGCAACTCTGTGGTGTTCATTAATAGTTCCCTAATGATAATATTGGGCCAAAAGTCGGTTTCGTCAACTCTTATCATTGAGTGACTTATGTAAGAGTATCGGAGAGTAATAGACATGTATAGTTAATCAGAAACGGCGAGACAACTGCTAACTACTCTGCGAGGGTGTCGAAGGGGAGCGATTCGAATACTGGAGCGGGACGCCATATGCATGAGCGGGTGGGATTCCGTTCATTGCACCGAAAGGACCCGAGCCCCACAGATTGTTTGCAGCTTGTTGAGGGTAACCCCATGCGCTGGGACCTCCAAATGATCGGCTTCCAACAGGTTCCATAATTTTAGGGGGTTCACCAGGTGCACCCCACATGTGAGCATTGTTCGGAGCCGCACCAAATCTGCGGCCAGTTACAGGGAGTAATAGTTCGTCATCGTCATTGATCAGAGCCTTACTCCCAAGGAAGTTTGTAGGACTTGGCGAACGGCGACTCGAGGAGCCAGAAGGAGGTTTATCCTCTCCGTCCATAGTTGCAACGCCAACTGGCCGAGATATCGGTCCGAGAGGCTTCTGAATTGTTCCATAACCCATTGAGGGTGTACGGCCGATGACCTCGTGAGCACTGGATGCTCTGCGAACATGACTCGGAGGACCCGAAGGAGGTAAAGCATCTGATCTGCCTGGGAAACCCATGCCGATGGGGGACGACACGGCTGAACTCGAAGTCAGAGGAGTCTGCATTTGACCACTAAAACTTTTGGGAGGGCCGATGGGAGGAACAGGTGTCGAAGCTTGGTAGTTCATACCACTGTCGAAATTACTGTCCATTATCGGGTACCCTCGCGGCATACCCGGAGTAGACAGAGGGGTGGGTAGAGGTTGTGAAGACTGGCTCGGAAACGTACCCACGGAAGCGTATGAAGGATGGGGGGTGAAACCATTTACTGGCATACCCTGATGAGGTGGAGGAAGGTAACTTCCAATGGGAAGGAGTCCAGGAGGTGCAGAGGGCAGTGGCTGCGATTGAAAAGACCCTGGGTGCGCACTTGACGGAGTTTGTGCAGGCATCGGTTGGGGTTGGATGTGAGCAGTTGGTACAGTGTTGGTGGCAACTGTAGGTCGCGGAGGTGTTGGACGAGAGGATGAAGGTGTAGCGGGAGGCAGGGATGTTATGGTCTGGGTAGGCGCTGGTGTCGGAGCTGGTGCTGGTGCCGACGCTGGTGCCGACGCTAGTGCCGTTGCTGGTGCCGATGCCAATACCGGTGCTGGGGTCGGCGCTGGTGATGGTGCTGGTGTAGGCGTAGGTGCTGGAGCTGACACTGGCGCTGGGGTTTGCAACGCGGCGGCAGGTTTAGTTAAAATCTTTTTCGGAGCTGGCGATACCTGCTTAAGGGTTGAGGTGGAACTAGTAGTTGAAGTGCGGGGTGGGGAGGGCGCCGGCCTTGAGGCAGCGGCAACAGCGGCGGCGGTGGCAGCAGCGGTAGCTTTGACGAACCAAGGCATTCAGGCGTACAACAGTACAAAGGAAAGACTTGCCCACCTTTAGCGGCAGCAGCTTGCTTCTGTCGTTCTTCTGCTTTCCTCTCAGCCTCCTCTTTCTCTGCCCGTCGTTTCGCCTCTTCTTCACGAAGCTTCCGTTCACGTTCCTCACGCTGAGCTTGTTCCCTGCATGCCATAAATAAGCATTAATGATAAAGTAAACAAGGACTTCCGCACCTGGCTTTCCGCTCCTCCTCTTTTTCCCTCTGCGAAACCGACATCAGAATAAACACGATAAAGTTAGGAACACAGTCACCTCTCTAGCCGCACGTTCGGCAGCTCTGCGTTGTTCCAAGGCAGCCTTTTCTGCTGCCGCCTTCTCCGCAGCTTTCCGCTGGTTTTCCAGGAATTTCTTCCTCTCTTCAGCCTCGCGTATCCGCGCAGCTTCGAGCCGAGCCTCCCGTGCAGCGGCCGCCTCGCGTCTCCTTCTCTCCTGTTCCTCTTGTCTCTTGCGAGCAGCCTCCTCAGCAGCTGCGCGCCTCTCTTTCTCTGCAGCCTCTGCTGCTGCACGTTCAGCCTCTTTACGAGCTCGTGCCTCCTCTTTCGCGCGCTGCTGCTGAAGTCTTGAAAAAAGTGGTTCAGATCATATACCAATGTAGGCCCTAAACAATCCACCTTTTCTTCTCTCTTTTCTTTTCAGCCTCCGCTTCCTGTTTGGCCCTCTTTTCAGCAGCCTGTCGCAATTCCTCGAGGATTTGCTGCTTCTGTTCCCAAGCTAACCGCTCACGGTACGCTTGCAGGACGCGCTGTTCAAACATCCTAGCAGCAAAAACGGAAAACATTCGCTTCCCCTCTTGCATCTTCTGCTCCTCAGTCATGATGCGCTGGAGAAAACACCGATGAGTAAAAGAACTGGTTGAGGAAGCTCAGTTGCACCCACGTCCTCTTCGGAATCATCCTCCTCCTCCTCATCCTCGTCACCATCATCCTCGTCTTCGTCTTCATCCTCACTGTCATCTTCAATAGAAGCAACAGCCTCACCTTCGCGTTGCATCCGACGCTCTGCTAGCTGTTCCATCATTTCCAAAAATTTCTGTCCGTCATTCTTCAACAAGTCATCTGCCACTGTGAGGATGTTACCTGGACCTTCGTTTCGCAAAACGTTGATCAGTTATAAAGGAATTGAAAGGCTACGACGCTCACCTGCGGCAGTAAATTGTGAATTGAACGAGAACATTTTGGACTCGGTCTTTCGTCGGCCTTTGCCTGAAGCCAACTGAGTATCCACTCTATTTCATGCAATGAGCATATCATACCGTTGTAATCTTCATAGTCGATGTCATCTTCATCGTCCATTTCATCCTCATCGTCATAATCTTCGTCGTCGTAGTCATCCTCATCCTCATCATATTCATCTTCATCCAATGTCCGTCTTTGCCCCTTTCGGACACCATTGGGCTGTTGACCCCTCCGGGTATTCGAAAGTTGCTTCGGCTGTGGAGTGGGGGCGCTAATTACTTGGCCATTCTTATCCAGGGCAACGCTGCCTGGAAATGGCCCTGGACCAGGTGGTGGTAACCCCCGCGAAGCAGCTTGCTGCTGCAGGTTTGCATAATGCTCAAGATCTTCATAATAAGCCTCGTATAGAACCTCAAGCTCTTGCTCGATCGCGTTGCTGGTTCAAAGGAGGAGTTAAGTCAAAGAACTAACATGCAGTGGATGTTGCAAATGAAAATGGATTCTAGGGGACGTGCAATGCTCACCGCTTTCTCCCGCAGACGGCACAACTACACCCATGCCTTTGCTGCTCTTTCATCTTCTTCAAAACAGCTTCTTTCTCGACTTTTACAAGGTCTCGCCTCTCCCGCTCCCCCAACTTTAGCCAGAACTCCTTGATTCTTTCCCTCTCTTCAGGTGAATTGGTAGGCCAGATATTGTTGGAATTCTGCTTGTTGCTGCCGATAGAACGCTTTCCGCGACCTGACACATTTGTCATCACAGGAACCTGACGACCCCTCGCAGTAGTGTAATTGTTGGCTGTCGGAGCCCTGGAGGCAAGCCTGGAATTCTTACTCGGAGGCGCGAGTGGGGGGTTCTGGGATGGAGGATTCGATGTGGTGTACGACATTGGTAGCTTACCAGCGGCACGGGACCCAGGAATGGGATTCACTCGAGCTTTGACCGGTTCAGGCGTAGACGGTTGTGGAGGCGTGTTGGCGTTCTTTTTCTTCTTCTTATTCTTCTTTCCAACGGGCTTCTGCTCAGGTACGAGCTGCTGAGGCGGCAATTTCTGCTGTGGTTCTACGTAGTATCTCGGTCAGACAAATTGTTATGTAGCTCGTCCACACGCCTACCAGCAGGTGAAGTTTCTATTCCATCACGATGCACCTCAACTTCGACCTGGTAGCGAGGGTCCTCGTCGCCCTCATCCTCCGTATAGAACTCGCCATTGTCGTAAACTTGGTCACCTAAAATGGTAGTGGGAGTTTATGAGCAGCGGTGTGAACAGTGCTGCTAAGACACTGAACGCAGATCCAAGAAGAGGGGCGCACCATTTGAATTGGCAGTATTAAAAGCGGCTTCCAGCGAACGCCGTATGGCAGGATCGGATAGGACAGCAGAATCGAAAGGGGCATTTTCCAGAGGATAGCTTCCTGGTAACCCCTTTGAGGCACCCTTTCCACCAGTGCGTATCATCTGCTGAGCTATAGCGTACATTGTCTGTGCTTTGGAGAGCTCGTTGGCAGGGATCTGGGCTATTTGGTCACAGAAAGTAAATTTATGGATTTGAGATGGTAAAGTTTTCGGCGCATCGGAATCACTAAGCGCACCTGCTGCTTCTAGTAAAGGATTATAAGGCTCATTGGTCTTCGGCTGTGAAGCTTCGCGAGTTGCTGAGACAGGACTTTCTGAAGGAGAGTTTGTTGACAGGTGGGCAGCAGCGAGTTCTGGGCTCAGCCCAGTTGCCCTGGGAGGGTTCGGTTCAAGTGGTGGTGGCTCATCATCATCATCCTCATCAGCTGAGGCATCGCCCCTAGCTTTATCCTTTTTTCTCTTCTTCTTCTTTGCAGACGTGTTTGTCTCGACAGGAACGGGTGGAGGTGGAGGTGCCACGGCAGTACGAGCTGGGGCGTTCTGCTTGACGGAGGATTTAGGATTCACTGACATGCGAAGGGAAGGTATGTTCGATCTTTGGTGTCGCGAGCTCAATGAAAAGGATATTGGAAACGATCAGAGTATAGTCCTGAGACGAGCGGACTGCGGCTGCTAGCAAAGAACCACAGCTCTCACAGAAGTCGTTGGAAATGGAACAGGGGATGCTCTTGGACTGCAGCCGCGGCGAAGATATTCGAGAGCCTTTGCTCGTTGCTGATGCGGCACAAGAAAGTCCAGGTGAAGGGTCGCTTTACTCCGTGGGCAAGGTCACAACTACAAAGTTAACTCAATGTCATTGATTCTACCCGCCCCTATTTTCAATCTCAAACGCGCCTCTTTTCTTGCTCTCTGGCAGTTTGTTTTTTGTTAAGATCCGCTTGGGTTGCTTTCGTTGTTCGCTCTGGCATGGTACCAACGTTTTCCAAACATGACTCAAAGTAACCCAGTCCACTTTCGACTGCCTTTTCACCAGATTTAAGCCACTTTGCGTCTCCTTGTGCGGTTCGGTCAACACCCTTCTAGCGGTTCTTCCCTTCCCCTTCACCCTTGGTTTCTTCAACTAGGCCACCTCCAGAAGTTATGTACTTTATTAGCACAATCCCCGACTGCCAGGAACCATGAGAAGCGCAGGACGAATGCGCAGGTTTCTTTCAGAGGAGCGGGTGTCCTCTGCGATAACATATGGCCCACGTTTCTCGACACAAGCATAGAATTAGTGAGGAACAAATCCCGAACTCAGCTTCTATAATCTATCTAGATTCGAAGCCCCCGAGTCTGTCCGAAATCACTCAGTGCTACTGGTAACCACCTATGTTACAAGTAAAGACTCCGAGAGCCTTCTGTTCACACCATTCCCGATGGAATTGCCTGTGTTTCTGATCAGATGAATGGAGGGTGCTCACACTGGGTTTCTTGGATGATTCACGCCCATCGTATAACTGCATCCCTTAGGCGTCGGAGCTCGATTTAGTCATTCGCCTTATATCTAAATTTGAATTCGCGTGTTCTTCTCGCAGAGAATATTACGGGGTTTGGATTGTCTGAAGGCGTTGACGATGACATCCACTGAAAAGGATTCAGCTGGGTGGAGCACACTTATCATACGATAACGATGAATAACAAAACCCTAGCCAACCAATGTCAGCAGACGACTCCCGTCTCTTCACGTCTCCCACTCCCGGCTGGTACTACAACGCCCACGGGACAAGTTGTCTGTGAGTCAAACCGCGGTTAGAGTACAGGCAGAGGTCCAAGCACACAAAAGCACTCACCCGGGTGGAGGAGTTTGGACGCCATGCAATCCAGAAACAATGCTCTGCGTTGGTGTATGTGCCGACGAGAGAGGCCACAATGTAACGGGGCATAGTGGGCATAGGTGGCTAAGAGCATATCCAAACCCTCTTCTGGCGCTTTGAGAAGGTGCCAGCGACTGAAGCTGAGCTTTTGCTTCATAATGAGGGCTTTTCAAACCGCGTGCCTGTGCAAGGGCCCACCGTAAACAATGCGTCATTCCCCAAACAGTGCCGCGAGTGAGGTGAGCCGCTCTGGGCTCATAGCCTGTTGAAGCGCCAACACAGCAGACGGCTTGATTAGGATGCCTGTAGACTCTGAAGATGCGTCGCGACTTGTTATCGCAGGCCTTTCCCATGTGGTTAGCTCACAACACACCACCCATCAAGCTGGAAGTTGAATCAGACACTGTGGCTGAGTGGTTAAAGCGATTGATTAGAAATCAATTCCTCTCTGAGGGCGCACGTTCGAATCGTGCCAGTGTCGCATTTTTTGTTTCATTGTCCCTGACACTGGCTCGAGAGGAAACCAATTGCTTTGACCACAGTCTCTTGTCTGGCCTCTACCCTCTTGTAGAATATCTGTAACCTCCAGTCGGCATAGCACATATAACTATAAAACACACCATGTACTAACCTATATCTAATATTACGAAGTCATATGTAGAGCTGGAATCCTGCTTAGCGGAATGTCTTGTCGGAAGGGCCCGGCTTCATCTGATCCCACGCTGATCTGTGTTGATCGTAACAAGCCACGATGACACTATTTGAGGGCTTGCCAGACGAGCTGTTATTGCGCATCTTTAAGGATCACGAGCTTCAGCCCCATGAGCTTCAAGTGATTTCTTCGTTGTCCAAGAGGATACGAAGGGCTGCATTGGATGATTCGATTTGGAGACGGATCTGTCACGTCATCATGTCTGGATGTTCGCTCCTTGGCGATGAAGAGGAAGTACAGTTGACAAAATGGGGAGCACAGAGCTTTTATGATCTTTGGGTCTCCTTGTTGCGTCAATGGTCGCCCTTTATTGGTTTCTGGGTTGCTTCTCCGTCGCGTGACATAATCTACATCGCGCCATGCAACACAAGGGGTGCCATACTGGTGGCTAATTTGGATCTGACCAACGCGTTCAAGCCTGATCCCAAGGACAATTTAAGGTTCAGAGTAAGATCAATAGCTAGAAGCGAATACCGCTATCCCCTCTACATTCAGACTGCAGACATGTTGATTCATGCCACCGAAGAGGACATAGCGGGCAGCGTTTTCCTGAATGGTGTAATTTCCGTCGGCCTATACATACCCCACTACAAGGTTCTACGCACGGACTTTTATGGGCTGCTTCAGCAAGGCGATGGATCCGCGGTGGTGCCATTTTCTCCGACTACATTTCAAAGGTCGGTCGTTCGCAGCGACTGGATTGGTGGACTGGGCCGACCTCCTCGGCAACGCGTTTGCCCAGGCTTGATGCCCTCACCCGCGATGGCACCCATCATTCGCTCACTCGTCCATACGGGAAATGAAGTTGAATTCCCCTGCCTGCAATGTTGGAACTACAGCAGGCATAGCAAGTATATACCATTAGGACCCCCCAAAAGGACAGACATCCATGCTTCACCATCAGCCCTAAATATCCTCGATTACCCTTCGAATCTCATCGACAGCGGTCTCTTTGCTGGGCCTTATAAAGACAGCCTTGAACTCTTTTATATCACCGTGCGGACACACAGAAAAGGATTTTCATAAGGCTTCAGCTTCAATGGCCCGAGATCCAGACGGTGCCATTCCCTTCAACAGTTCCCGCACCCTGCTAGACGACATCCCACCTGAGTACCACTGGGAGGGCACATTTGCACATGATGATTCTACGCCTCATCTGGGACCCTTTTCTCGAGGCTATTCCCCCAACCCGCATATCTCAGTGGGTAGCGTCAAACCAGGGCAACGCATCATTGAAGCAGTCAGGATTCATGGAAATCTCGACCTTCCACGCGGCCAGAGGGCTTTCATCGGTTTTCTGGATATTCCTTCTGATTCATATAATACTTCATCCGCGTCTTCAGATGTAAGGGAGGCTATAACAGAGTTCGATGGTGTGATAAATCGACACTCTGAGGGTAGTATCCCAACCGAAGCGGCAAACAATGAATTTCGTTCGTTGATGGAGAAGTATGGCTTGCCTCCCACAACCCATCGAAATCCATTCATCCCATGGCCTATTCGCCGATTGGAAGGACAGGGCACCTCCGGCTCCACCGCCGCGCAGAGAGGACCCCACCGTGTTGTCGCACTTTCCGATAGCGAGATGATGGCTCCAGGAGAAGGTTGGACGACCCGAGGCGTAATGAGGATTGCAGATCGGAGTATTCAGAACCCACGCTGGACCAGTTGTGATATCCATTTCGAGAGCAGAAGAGAGTTGCTGGTATGCCGTCCAGGGTATGTTACGACGTTCAGACACCTGGAATGTTTCTCGCTGGCAGCTTGAGTCCCTGGACGTATCCTGTATTCGGCTTCGATGCATGGTACACATATTCCGAAAATAACTAGCACTTTTTTTCCTGTCGATTGGGTTGTTGGGCTTCCATTATGCATGCATAATGCATGTGATCGTAATTTGAAGAATTCAACGTGTTCCCGCACTGACCGTTGCTAGTTGTCCCTGCTCAAAAAGCCAGTCAGAAGTCCTCTTGTCGCACGTTCTTGAAGATAACATGGTTCGGCCCTATGAGCCTCAAAGGATCGAGGAGAGTACGTGGTTGAGTCGATCTAGAGACAAATTTGTCGATCTGGGCGTTCTCCCCGATGAAATGGGGAGCACTGAGCTTTGAGCACCATCTTTTCTGCGGCAATGGTCGCCCTTTATCGGGTTCTGGTACGTCACTTTCTACAACTGGCATGCGAACGAAGGGATCTGCCAACAAACGCGTTCACAATGTCAATACGGCCATCGATCAGGCATACATATACTAATGCCGTGAACTCTGAGAGATGTATCCTTTAAACTACCGAAGAGGACGTGGCGACTTGGCTATCATCCATCGCCTGAAACACGGGTTTTATGGGCTGGTCAATGGATATACGGCTGTTCCATGTGCATGTCCCAAAATACCCACAGCCAGTAGTTACCCTGGCTCGTTCATAAGGCGAACAAAGGCGTGTTCGCTTGCCTAAGCCCCAACCATCCCTCGCCAGATCGGACCAACTCTACGAGTACATACCATTAGACCTCAAAAACTGTTAAAGTCTCCCTTGGCCCCTCAACGTACATCAGGAATTACTTACCCTTCGAAACCTTTATCGATGCATAGCGATCTCTTTTATATCCTGGATCTTTCGGATCCGAGCCCGTTTCTATCACCGCGTCCGGACAACGATATGTCTATGTAGAATTTCTATAAAGCTTTCAACGGTCCGAGGTCCCGATCTTTCTCGTTCGAAAGCTCAATTGGCTCACTTGCATATATCTCAACCGGAGTTGCCGTTCGGCTGCCCCAGGATAATCTCACGCTTCATATGGACCCCTCTTGCTCACCCCCCCCCCCCCGACCCGCGCGTCCCATTGCATGGCGTCAACCCCAGGGAAACAAATTATTGACGTAGTCAAGGTTCATGAAAGCCCCCAATGTCCCGTTGCGGCCCAACGGAACACCATTGGTTTCCTTATTACAACCTGCCATTCTTCGGATCTCAAGGGAGGTGATGGGACTAGAAAGCTCGATGATATGCCGACGGGGGATGTCTCGACCGAAATGACGAACAAGTACTGTATTGGGGGAAGAAGTGCTCCTCATGTGTTTGCGGCACTTTCGACAGAAGTGGAAAAACATTGTCGGAAATGCATTAGGGGGGGGAAGGGGGAACCACGGATGTTGCCGTTATAGCCTTGGGAGTTGTTTGTCAGTTCGAACACAATTTGGTTTCAATCCGTAACGTACGTGCATATATTTTTGGGCATAGCCAATGGCTGGTAATCGAGTTCGAACCATGTATTTACAACTGTTTACATCGCAGTTTTTTTTTTGTCTCCCCTCACACCACCTTGCGAGTCCGCCGTGGCCATGTTTTTCCAATGGCTAACGCGAACAGACAAGCCCTTGGCATTGAACGGTTTGCGGGGAGAACCAACGGGTGCTGACTCATCTCGATTATGTTGTCGGTTGCATGTGATGAGAATTTGAAAAGTCGCAACCAACCGACTGCTTTTTGCGCTGATTCTGCTACTCGTTGGGCCCCCCCTCACCTTCGTTCGCAGTTCTTTCCAACCATGCCCCCAATCTCTACTGGCGCTAGAATTCTCGTTACAGGAGCTAACGGTTTCATCGCGGCTCAAACATGTTCTACCCTTACCCAACGCGGACACACCGTGATCGGAACCGTCAGGTCCAAGTCGAAGGGAGAATATTTGAAGAAAGTCATTGGTGACAAGTTTGATTATGTTGTTGTAGAAAATATTGAGAAGGTAAGTCCAAAGCGCCCAATTCCCTTTGATCTCGTCACTTGTCGCGTCACTTTTTTTTTTTTTGCCAATTTCTTTCTTTTTTTTTTACGATGGATTTATCACATCGCATCCTAGCCGGACGCGTTCGACAATGCAGTCAAGTCTACAAACGTGGATGCTGTCGTTCATATGGCATCCCCAGTTGATACGTCGTCCGAAGACCCGGCTGTAGTCATTGGTCCGGCCGTATCTGGGACTACCGGTATTCTTAAAAGTGCGCTTGAACATGGGTACGTGTTAACCGCAAATTTTTGCCTCCGTTCCATAATACACACATTATCGGTATCCATCTCGGTCAACAAGTCCGTCCGTGAAACGCATCGTGATCACATCCTCCGTTGCATCTCTCATTGTGCCCAAGGACGGAACATATACATTTACTGAAGTAAGGCCCTTTAGGGGAAATCCGAGACTAATTTTCGGTTGAAAGCTGATCGATTGAACAGTCCGATTGGAACACATATTCACCAAGTTGCGTTGAACAAAAGGGTAAGAACGCTGGGATTCATAAATACCGCGCGTCCAAGGTCTTGGCGGAAAGAGCCGCGTGGACATTTATGGAGGACAACAAAGACACCGTCAAATTTGATTTAACCACTATCCTCCCTCCTCTCGTCCGTGTCAATGCCTTCTCTAAACAACTGTGAGAACTGATGACTATCCTCCTTTCTCCAGGTATTTGGCGTATGTCCCCAACTTATTGTTTGATTTGTGTGAACTATCAAAGATCCCATTCTCGAACTGAAAATTTTCCCCTTTCTCTTCTTTTCTAGCCCCTTATTCACCAAACTACATCCTTGTCCAAGTTGAACGAAACGTCCATACTCTTTCTCAAAAGGGTAACAAACCCACCATTACAAGCTCATTTCCCTGGTGTGAGCGGAAACCTTGTTGATGTTCGCGATGTTGCCTTGGCACACGCCCTCGCCCTGGAGAGCGACAAAGCAGGTGGAGAGCGGTTCATCGTCAGTAACGGACCCTTTGCTTGGCAACAAATCAGTGCGTTGTGGCTTTTATATAGACTCGCCCACCCCCCACCCCCACCCCCCTTTTTTTTTTTTGGCTAACCTTTGAGGCTTATTTAGCCGATGAACTGTACGAAGCTGGTATTACCGACATTCCGATTGGAGTTCCGGGTTCGTGGAAAGCTAAACCGTTCGAAATCATCATGGACGGATCTAAAGCTTCCGACGTTCTTGGTTTGAAATATCGAACTATTAGGGAAACCGCAGTGGATGGCCTCAATAGCTTGAGAGAGAGATTTGGGAAGGAGGTAAAAATATGAGTACACATCCCTCCCTCCCTAAGCAAGGGAATTTGGACTCCGGGGACGTTGATAGATTAGGCTCCGCTTTTTTTTTGCATGCATTACATACTTAATATTTTTTTTTTTATTATTCCATGCGAAGCGAGAGAATTCATGTTTGTAACATTATGGCCGAATAGAGTATAGTAGATACAGGCGCTTTGTTGTTGTTCACAATCAATCAAATAAATTTTCCTGAACAGGTAAGGAGAATTTCCTATTCGGTAACTGTCAATTGTGTCAACTCATGGTTTGACTGGCGCTGAAATCACTTTACTACACAATCGCTAGCTTGGGATCTATAGTACTAAGCGTCGACGTCCGGGTTCACTCCACATCATATCTGCATCCGCTTCCTCTGATCATATGAATTTGGGAATGGGTATGCTCTTTTCTCTTTCAGGATTCCATTTCCATTACCGATTTCTGCAAAGCAGCCACTCCGCTAAAACTCGGTAGACAAACAAGTGTGGCCCAGCATCCTGATGTGCGATTTGTAACCCGCGAAACAATACCCCCGGTCCCAAGGGACCGGGAAACTAAAAGTGACAGTGATATAAGTAGATCAGATGTTCGTCACCCCTTTTTTTCGACGAGCCCCGGGTTGTTGCATGTCATCAATCATGCTGGTACCGACGCTATATAGAGTTCTAGCTTCACATAGGAATCTTGCCAACGCGTACGTTGCCCCCCCCCTGAGCCACGTTGCAATTTAACGACAACTATATACATAGCTAGTCGTCGTTAACCAAAACCCAATCTATTGGTTTCATGTGGGGCCACCCGGGCCCGAGATCCGGCGAATTCTGATCCCTTCTAACAGTTTGCCATTGATCGGGATCTTGTCCCCCACGTCCATGCACGAGTGTATGTATTTGATTATCCTAGAGATTTCCATTCATGTTACTGAGAGGACGCTGATCACTGTGGAGGTTAGGACGCGCGCGCCGCGCCAGCGCTATAGCGTGTACATGGCAGCGGCTGCCATGCGGCGAGGGGTCTGCCATAGAATGGAACTGCGTGGATACCTCCATTCGTACTAGGCGTTGCGATTCGTACGGTTGAGACAGGCGAATGATGGGAATTCATCAGCACAAGCGCCATATTGATGGCTGGATCGAAGGGCATTGGCAGCTTCCATTGGCCAAAAATGTATGTATGTATGTTCCGGTTGGGATCGAACGCTGCGGAACTCCCTTACGCGCGCCGCTGCGGAGAGTCGGAGCAACGATGAAAACATGCAAGATACGTGTATAGGTGAAATACTATATCCCCCCCCCCCCCCCCCGTGGCTTGGCTTTATTATTGTGGAGATCAGATCCAGAGTTTCATCATCATTAGTACTGTATGGCAGACAGAGCCAGAGGATAGAAGCACACATGTGCCACAGGGCTCAGATCTGCGCAGCTCCTTAACTCCGGGTGCAAAACACTGACCAGTGACACCTACTATCTCCACATTTTTCAGAACAGGTGCATGCAAGTTAACGTACATACTCAGCTTCGACGGCGCACCCGAGAGGGTTTGAATGCAGGAGTTGCATGGTAAACACTATAAACAAAGCTGATCGCTGACACTATGATTGATTAGGATATCAACTCCCATCTGCGCGCGAGTAACTAGGGATATGGCTGGACGGTTTGGAACGTTAACGGTTTGGACATTCATTTCAAGTTTCTTGTTTCCAATCATCATGGCTAACGACGCTTATACCCGATTTATAGTTTCACGGACGTGGCATATATCGATGCGTGCATAATGTTACCGTCGATACCATGTGTTCCCTGCCAATATTCTTTTGTGTTGATGCTTTCTCATCAGTGCCGGGCATCGCAGGCCAATCTCTATAAGCGATATCGGCGCCAGTCGTATAGGATACGCTGTTTCTTCTTCCCTCTTACTCGAGAGTACTGAGGTGATATCATTTCATCGAATATTTGTGTACAGTACTCATTTTACTTTCGTGTTATAAGTTTACGCGTCTAACCACAATTTAGTTCTCTAATCGTACCGAGATCTATGTTGCGCATCTAGCTATGAATTGTATTAACGATGTTTACCTGGTAGCATTAATATTTAGATGTCGGTGGGGTTCGGTGGGTTCGGCGGGTGGGGCGGGTAAACGAATATATCCGGCTAACTCCGCTACACTGAAGCCAGACCGCGGAGCAGTACTAGTGTGCCATGAACAGCTATCACATATTCATTGATTGCAATCTCGTCTCGAATTTCTGGGCGATTACTTGCTGGAGGGTATGGTTTGCGCATATCATCGTCATCAACAAACGCCCCAGCCCCTAGGCAGGTGACCAGCCTCTATAGTAATGGAGGCCCCATGTCATACTGTTCAAGTTGGCATTCCGATGCCCTTCTGCGTGTCAATGGTAACTCGTTACTGTTATTGTTGCTTTGTGAGTGGCGTCGCTAAGGAAGCGTGCCACATATATAAGTATGGTGAGTGCGATATCTGATGACAATGTGATATCGCGCTCAGAATCGTGCTCAGAGTGTCTGGCTGTTGATGCGGCGATTGTAACAAGTACTCCACAGACTTGCGGATGACCACTGGGTGAGGGCATGACGACGTACGGTTACAGCCGAGCGAGCGCTCCATCGTATAATCTTGCACGCGACACGTAGCGGCTCATTTAATGAAACAAGCATCCACGGCCAGACGGTCCATGGGCCCCAACAGTTTGATGGTCCTATGACGACAGAAGTGCCAGGTACTAGTTGGGTGTGGGTTATGGCTACTATCTGTACCCGATCGGCTACAGCCCGTAAAAGCATTCCACTGTTTACCTCCTTCAAAGGCCTTCGAAACTATCCCAGAGAGTTCGATTCGACTGCACCCAGATATATGCCACACATCGATGGATCTCTCCCGGCTTATCAAAGGCGAAAAGAAAGAAGATCCGAAGATAATCCGTCACACCCGTGGGAACAAACCTGTATGAAATGCCAAGGCTATTAAATAAGTAACGCCAAGAATCACAAGGCCGGGCACAGTGGATAGGTTTCGGGTAACTTAGTGCATTGACGAGCCACATGGACGAGTTTCTTTTTTGGCACCCCGAGGCCGCCGATTGCTCCTATTTAAGGCTCCATCGCTTCCATCGCACAGCCTGGACAAATTCACCTCCATAACCGGGTACACTGGTGATGGATGGATCGACCAAGGGGGCGGTTGCAATATATATCCAATATCGGATTGTCAGAACTTCACAGGAAACGTACCGTGTGTAGGGTAGTGCCTCTACGGTTTAGCGGTTTGATCGGTGATATATATATCTTTTCATGATGCACGCTTGCATGAACTTATGTACATATCGAGGGGACTCCCTATCTGTAGCATGCATTGCCCGCCCGAGGGAATTACTAAAGTCCGGCAAGCGGCGGTTATGAGGAAAAATTCGAACATTGATGAAAGGTTCATAGCATGTATAGTACTGCATGATCGGTACTGCATGCATGTACGAATCGTGATTGGGTACACGTAGCTAGGAAAGGCATCGACTTACCGGAGCCCGGCTGCGGAAGTGGTTACATGTAGCCAATGGGCTTCCACGAATGTTGCAACCCTGGTAAGTTGGTATTGAATTCGTTCTATGGTTTCAGGAAGAAGTAGAGGATTTTGAGAGGAGCCGGTAGTGCGCCTAAAGTACCTTCAAAGAGGAAATCATCCTTGGACACAGAAGAAAGAAGTCATAGAGGTTCGATGGAGTCTTGCCTACACAGAAGATATGAAAGAATGATCGAATTCGATTGCTCGGCAACCCTTGATACCAGTATATGCAGACTTGAGGCATCATTCGATCCTGGATAACGAGACAGCTCTGTCTGATCGTGGATTGTTACTCTGTCTTTCCTTGAGAGCAACAAACGGGGCAACAGCGGAGCTTTCCGAGTCCCTCACCATGATCGAAATGCAAGCACCTCACGCAAATGATAGGATTCCCCTTGCCATCCAGCTCAATCATATATAGTAAAAAGCGGTGCTCAAGCTTGGTGGTACTATCAATACGCGTAGCAAGCAGTGCGATGCAGCTTTTGAGCTTGACGAGGGAATCCGACTTCTCCGACTCTTTGGGGGATGAGTGTTGCAGACTTCATTGATGATCGATAGTACAACGTCGTGATGTTTTCTTTGAAACCGTCAAGATGCAAAGGACAGCGAAGAAAAGACAAAAAAAAAAATCAGACAATGAAGAAACAAGAGCGGAAAATATAATATCACAAACGAGGGACAACAGAGTGAGATAAGTAAGCAGCCGATGGCCAGTATGAAACCAGAACTAAAATAAGTGGAGAGGGGATGGATGAGGAAGATTCTTCTTTTTTTTTAGCTCCTCCCAGATGAAGTAGACCAGGATTCAATGGCTCGGAATTATATTTTTGTTTACTGCCAATATTGAGGCGCATATTGTTGGTAATAGTTCTGTTCGGGAGGACCATATGAGCGGGTCTGAGCTTGTTGTCCGTACCGGTTAGGGAAGTATCCTCCCGCAGCCTGTTGTCCCTGACCCTGTTGCTGCTGCTGAGGGCCAGATCCAACTCCTGCACCAGGGACGCTTCCGGCACGTGGGCCCGGTCCCTGTTGCTGATTCTGCTGAGCCTTGTCCTGAGAGCCAGCGCCGTTGGCAGCCTGCGACGCATACTGTTTATAGCCATCAGAAGAACTCTGAGACCCTGCGCCCCGTTGCTGGGAACTAGCCTGCTGTGACCCGGGGACGACCCGTACCCGCTCTGACCTCCAGATGGGAGTGAAAGCGAGTTTTGCAAACCTTGGCCATAAATTTGACCCTGTCCTTGCGGCTTGCCGTAAGGATCTCCTAAACCGACCGCTGACTGGCTGTAATCGTCATATCCGCTCTGCTGACCAGGATGATATACGTGCTGCGATTGGTTTGAGCCGTAAGGGGCCGAGATGCTACTCGGTGGCTTGCTCGCCTGCTGTTGATGCGTCGCAGGGCTTGAGCCAGGCCCATGCTGATACAGTGCCCCATACTTCATGTACTGAGGTTGGGGAGGAGGATACGCCCCATACTGGCCATAGTAGGGCGCTTGCGAGTACGGTTGAGGATAATAGTAAGGAATGGTGGGAACTCCGGGGTATGACGGTTGCTGACTAGCGGGGGGTTGTCCGGCTTGCCCAGGACCCAGTGGTGGGCCGGTCTGACCGGTTGGATTTTGTGACGATCCCTGCGGGAGACCGGTATTGGTCTGGAGCTGAGACGGGAGGAGGTTTTTGCTCACGTCGTCCTGGTTAAGTGTTCCATTTCGTCCTTGGAAGGCGGATGCGCTCTGTCCATATGAATCATAATACGAGCCCTAAGGTTTCCGCATGTGGTCATTTAGCGTTACGAGTAAGGGATTCAAACATACCCTCTGATGGTCACCATACAGACCGTAGTCGGCCGGTCCATTACCGAAACCTCCCAGATGAGACTGCTGCCCGAAAGTCGTGAAATCATTGTAGGAGGTTGTGGAATCCTGCTGCACCGAAGGGGGATACCCGGTGAACTGTAGTACCCGGATTCGGGACCACGGTAGTAATTACTGTGGGCAGCAGGATGGCCCAAGCGCGAGTCAACTGAAGGCTGCTGATTGTGTTGCGAATAGGTAGCATGCAACGGCGCCTGTTGCTGCTGTGGCTGGCTTTGGAGGGACGGCGGGACCGAGAAATGAGATGGCGTCGAAGTAGCAACGGCGGGATTCTGTGCGTGGATGCCTCCCAGGTGATGCTGTTGTTGGTATAGACTGCCAGCAGAGGTCGCCTGCTGTGGGAGGGACTGGGCCTGCTGTGGCTGCGCAGGCGCTGGCTGAGCTGGTTGGGCCTGTTGAGTTTGCTGAGTCTGCGGCTGCGGCTGCGGCTGTTGCTGTTGCTGTTGCTGCTGCTGCTGCTGCTGCTGCTGCTGATGGGGAATTTGGGTTGGCGAGCTCCCTGCCGGCAATGAAGACTCGAGCTGCTGCGAAATAGGCTGTTGAGCAGGGGGTGCGACTGGTTGAGTAGCCTGGATAGGTTGCGAAGGCTGAGTTGGCTGAGTCGGTTGAGTCAGCTGGGGCGGCTGGGTTGCTTGCTGCACCGCAGATACCGCAGCAGGGCTGACTTGGACAGGCGAAGACTTTGCAGACTCCTCCTTCGGCGGTTCCAAGGCGGCCTCCTTAGGCCTACGATGAATTCCACGTTAGGGGCAGGACGTCTCAGACGGCCATTCGCATATGACTTACGGTGAGTGTGAGTCGAGGTCATCGCCAAGGGTCAGACTCCCAAATTGCATGCCAACACGGTCAAGGCCAGTGTTGCCAAAGCTGAATGAAGAAGTCAGAGAAGCAGCGCCAACATGACCGGGTAATATGACGGGTTGGTCAGACTTGTATCGGGCAATACGAGCGGCTGTCGCGTTCTTAGTGGACGGAGTTGACGGTTTCGAAATTGCAGGAGCGGGAAGCCCAGGAGGAGAGCTGGTTGACGTTGTGCGGGCTAAAATAGGTTGTGCGGGCACGATCTGGCTAGGCTGGATCGCCGAAGTGGAGACCGAGGGAAGAATTGCAGTCGTAACGGCGGATACGGGGGGGGTAGCATGAAGTTGTGACTCGATTTCAGATGATTTGCTAGATGTGATCGACACAATGGCTGGATCCAGCCAGTCAGTGGTTGGCTGGGTTGCGGGGGCGGCTGTTGGTTCAGCGGCCACAGCAGTGGGTGGTTCGGGTGATGTCCACTGAGCTGGATCATCGTCCCAGGTCGGAGGTTGTACAGTGGTAGGATCTTCCCAGCCGTCTGCGCCTTCGGTCACGACATTTCCAATTATTGGGGTAGGTGCACGGGGAGGTTCAACGTCCGGAGTTGTTTCGGGGACGAATGTAGGTACAGGCGCGGCGACTGCAGGGGGCGGTGGTGGGGTGGATTTCGGTACTTCTTTAGGTCTGGTAGATTTAGAAATTAGTGCTAGCCCTATCAAAAAATACCTAAGGAAAGCACACTTGGTTATTTGAGCCCATGATAGTTTCGCCCCAGGAGGTACAATTGAGCTCGGTTTGGAAGGAACTGGAGCAAACATAGGTGCCGCAGACGTTGCAACAGATGCCTCAGCCTTTTCGGAATCACCATTCGTTTTAGTCTCAGGCCCAGTCTCTGGCGCTTCGGGCTTGGCAGTTGTGGTGTCAGTCGTATTGAAACCCCACCCCTCTTCAGCATTCAAGTTACCCCATGAATCGTCACCACCAGTCGCACCAGCGCTCGCAGCAGCCCAAGGATTGGGGGGAGTTGGAGACTCCTCAACCCCTTTAGTGGAAGAAAGCCAACCTTCCCCGATGCCAGTTGCGGAGTCACTATGGCCGTTAATGCGCTGCTCGCGCCCTGGACGAGGACCTCTACCTCCACCCCGTCCACCACGAGAAGGGCCGCCCCCACGCCCTCTGCTGCTACGTGCGGACGACTCTCGGTGTGTACCGTCACGCGAGGAAGTGTTATGCCCCGAGGTCGGAGGGGTCAATGTCGCACTCTTCCTGTCCTTCTTGCGAGACGCAGAGCTCCATTGCTCAGCATATCCTAAATAGTGGAAGAAGACATCAGCGAATATAAACCAGCATGATATGAAATGGTTCAAGAATGTTGAGCACGCGAGTCGACGTTTGCGTGTTTTTTGCGACGAGTCGTCATCACGTAAAAACTCACCTTCGCTGATGCGGTCTATAGCTACCTGAAGATTTCCCTGAACCTCAGAGTCATTCAGCAGAATGAGAATATCCACATCGGACCAGTTGGAGAACAGTTCTTTGAGTTTCGAGAGTGGCTCCTCATATTTTCGTCTGAGCTTGCGAAGCTGCTCAGACTCTTCGACGTTGACAGCCGTGGCGGGCGGCGCAGGGTTTTCAGCAGAGGTTACATGGCGTGACGACCTTTGAGGGCCCCGAGAACGCGCTGGGCGAGTCTGCGGAGGGGTGGACATTGTAGAATTGGAAGGCTTTTGAAAAAATTGACAAGAGAAGAGTGAACTTGAATTACAGTAGTCGACCAGTGGTTGTCTCCGGCACGCGCCTCACTTCACGTTTGACCCCCATGGTCACTCGTCGGACATGCTTAGCATATGCTAGGTCACTTCTGGCTCTCATTGCATTCGATTTATGGCCCTACTTCATCTGGACTCAAGGTATTTACTTCATTCAATTTTTTGACCGCTGTGTCATGGTCAAAACTGGATATCCACGCGCGTACTTCGTCTGATCGGACGTGGATGGTTGCCTGGCGGGACATTATTCAAGCCAGACCTTTTATGGCTCTCCTGTGCCTTGGGTAGGCACTGCAGTCCAACGATCTTACATAACATCATCAGGCACCGTTAAACGAGGGCGGTGAAGCCACTCGCATGTCGCACTTCACTGCTCGCAAAATGATCTGTCCCATCTTGCCTTACACTTTATCCCACACGCCAATCATTAAAGATAAGCCACACCTTCTGTCTGTAAAAAGTTGATTCTTTTAATATCTTTGAACTGTACACCCAGAAAGATTGCATCACTCCGGTGTAGCGTCTTTGGAATGGTTTGGAGGCTAACTTGGAGTGTAGATGGATCTGTGGGTGATTCTTGGAACGTATATTTATGGGGGCCATGATCCGCGTTACTGATAGTGGGCGGCCGACCATGACTATAAGGTGAGACCTGATGTTTATAGGTTCGAATTCCATTCCATCGTGATATATCATTTCAGTCCGGGCGTATGTGCCTGGCCATTGGTTGGCATTTGAGCTTGCAAACATACCCTTACTTATGCAGGCTTGATCACGGCCGACATCACCCCAAGACCATGTTAGTAATTCATGTTCCTACCGCCAGTTTGTGTTCGGGTATCACGAGCTGTGCTAATTAATGAACGCAACGATTTGAATGCATCCAGCGGAAGTCCCATTTCTGCGTTGCCCTCCTGAATCAATAGATGAAACCTGGTTGATTGGCGTCGGCGTGAGGCTGAGCATCACAAAAATCCAGAGCCGACGCGTGGGGGTTTAAAAAGTGTAGAGGGATTGCCCTCCAACAACATCGACCACGATATCTCATCGCAACTTGGATGGAAAGATCCGAGCTTGCATTCATTCGTTTCCTTCCTTCCTCAACCATGGAGGCGGGTATCGCGTCCCCTACCTTGTCAATGCCAGGAGCATTCTGGCCGTCACAATCCCGTCGTCCTGTCCGGCTTTCGTTGTCAACGAACCAACCATCAGCAAGCCCCAGACCGCTCTCAACACTTTCGACTCTGTCTACAGACTCTGCCTATTATAGCCCTCAGGATGGAAGTTTCTCTCCGGTCTCCGCTTATCCGAATCGTCCATTTTCTGCTATCGATGCTGAAAATGACCCTCTCCATTCCGATTTCATGACTCTGGAGAACTTGCGGAGAGATGTGCGGACAAATTTGAGGCTGCGACCACTCAGTTCGCAGCCTCGCTGTCATACTCCAGGAACCGATTCTGTCGATTACACTACAGCGCCAAATAGTCCTCTATCTGCACCGTTTTCCCCTTCTGCATTCAGTGCAGAACCATCTATTGCACCACCGCAAGTACTGCTGGAAAATGTTACACCCATTCGACCATCCGACACCAACATTCATTTCATGCCCATCGAACCATCTGAACTGGCGTCCATGCTCGCAACCTCGGCGGAGTCTGATACGCTCATTATTGACACACGTTTACCTCTAAATCATTCGTTGCTGCGTATCCGCGGCAGTATCAACCTTGCCATTCCGACCCTGATGCTTAAGCGTTTCCGCAAAGCCGGCAGCCTGTCTTCTTTAGATATTCTCAACCCTTACATCGGCGAATCGTCGAGGAAAAATTGGGACACAAAGGTAGCTGTTCGGGGCAAGGTGCGGTGGCCTGGTAAGCATCTGATCATTGCATGTCCATTCGAGCACGCATTATTAACTCAATTGCTTGTAGGGGATATTATCATCATTGATGAGGAAATGAATAGCGTGGATGCGCACGCTGCACGTTATGGTGCTGCTAACGTCGGACAAAATGCCCCGCCAAATGCGGCATCGACGTTGCTGTGCACCCTTCACCCACTGTGTAGAGGCCGTGTACTTTTCGTCCAAGGTGGAATGGCCGCCTTGAGAGGGCTTCCGGAATTCAAACCTTACCTCATTGCTGATTCTCCTAGTTCCAATGATGTTGGTGCCGCTGACGATAGTCCCCATGTATCGGTACTTTTGTCATACGTCAGTGACGAGCCCGCTACACTTCAGACCGTTGTATCTTCCTCTCATGCTATTCCCGAGTCATCTGCGTCAACACCAAGAAAGGAAGTGCATAAAAGGCCCTCAGGCTTGTTTAGTATTAAGACAGAGGCCGGTAACACTTCTCGCAAATCATTGCCACATCTCGAACCCGGACCTTCTTCATCAGCCTCGACCTCAACCTCGTCGTCGTCACCCTCACAACCATCCTCTGCCGCATCCTCCTTTGAAGTCCTTTCTTGGGCACCATCTCCATCCCCCTCCTGTGCAACCTTTTCTCGACCCCACAGTTCATCGTTCTCAAACCGTAGTCGACGACCAACGCTCGGCATAGATACGGCCTCTGCCGAACATCTTCGTTCGAATTTCGCTGCACCACCGAAGCTTCAACTCCGCACCGCGCCTTCAAAATCCGCCACGCTTCCCCCCTGTCGGCTCCAGGTGCCGAAGTCTCCCTTGCGGCCTGACATGGATTATATCGTCAGATCGCCAAGTACTCCTTCCAGCAGGAATCACAATGATCTTTTTTTGCACACTCCACCGAGCGGTGCGAGCAATGGGTCCACTGATGATACTTCCGCTGATGTTTCGGCGGAACTCCATCTCCCAAGCCGATCTCGGTCGAGGTCACCCGGTTTCTTGAATATCCCTGATGGCAGCGATTGTCGTTCACGGAGCAGGAGTCCCTTTTCGCTTCCTTCTCCTTCTACCATCCGGCCGCCTTCTCCGTGCAGTTCCAAATCTTCACCTTGTACCCCGCATAGCGAGCCGCGAGGAGGTCCCAGTGAGTTCAGTGTGTCGACCATTCTGCCCAATTTCCTCTATTTAGGGCCGGAGATATCCACGGTCGAGCAGGCGCAAAAGTTGAAGGCTATGGGTGTCAAACGGATTCTCAATATGGCCATCGAGTGTGAAGATGGCCTTGGGTTGGAGGGGATGTTTGAGAAGTACAAGAAGATTCCAATGAGAGATCATGTAGAGGAGGATAATATCGTCAAAGGCATGCGGGAGGTTTGTCATTTTCTTGGTACGTACCTTTTTTGTTCGATTAAGGGTTCCCAGCGTTGCCAACCATCGATTGGCATTAGATGACGCGCGGCTGCACTCCTCCCCAACGTTTGTACACTGCAAAGCTGGAAAGTCACGCTCCGTCACTGCTGTGATTGCATACCTCATTCACGCGAACCACTGGGACCGTGATCGAGCATACAATTTCATTTCGGGACGCCGAAAGGGTATCAGCCCGAACATAGGGTTCATGTCTGAATTGATGAACTTTGAAAAGGAGGAGCTATGTGGCAAAGGGTTTGCTGCAGGGAGGGGAAACGAATCGCCTGTCGCAGCTAGCACTGCAACTGACACCGGAAGTGGTGATAGTGCGGAGTCGGGCTCGGCGCCAACTGCTGAGCATAACGTGTCCGAGGCGACCGTTTCACGGACAGGACCGCAACTTCGCAGACTTGCTCATATCCGGGACTCCCTCCCACCCAAGCTTTATCAGAATAATTCATCTTCTGCCGTGCCTGGTAGTGCAGTAGACGGCTTGGGAACAAGCCTGGTTGATCACGCGGAAGAGACGGAGGTGAAGGATGCAGAAGGAAGGTATAGGCATGCAAGACGTGCACCAGTTGATGAGTTCACGTTGCAACCTATGCGCAGAGTTAGTAAGGCGGGGCTTGAGTCGGCTTCGTGGAATTGAGAGGACTCGGTACACTCTATGTACCATAAGACATTCATATATTGCCCCCAGTTTCCATAATTCCTTCTCTATTAATCTGTTAATTTTATTCTATTCATCTCTTGTGCCTGTTCCGGCCGTCCCAACGCTTTCTTTTACATCAATTCTTATTCCGTATGAGTGCTAACAATTGGTTTTGGTGCACATGTACTTCCCCCGAGTGCGTGACTAACCCCTAGCACGCCTCCATAGCACCTCTTTACAGAACGAACGATGGCGAAGTTGGCCCAATTGACAGAAAAGAACTAGTGCAATGAACCATATACCAACTTCCCTCCCACGACAGTGGCAGCCACTTTGGCCTCCAGAATTTCTTGTTGGGGTACAGTCATGATGTCCTTCGACAGGATGACGAAATCTGCTAGTTTTCCAGGAACGAGGGAACCTAGTTTGTTCTCTGAAAATGATGCGTAGGCGGCATTCAATGTCATTGCCTTCAAAGTTTGAAACCGAGTAAGCCGTTCGGAGGGATACCTGCACGCAATTGGTGAGGCTCTGAAGATGCAGGATACACCCTGAGCACCGTAATAGGTCTTACCATCCGCCAGGTCCGTGTGGGGAATCACCGTTAGGCCATAGACGTGTCACCGCTGCGTAGAAGCCTTTCAGAGGGTTCAGGGATTCAACAGGAGCATCAGAGCCTAAAGCAAGGCGGGCGCCGGCGCTGTGATGTAGAATGTGGGAAGTGGATTTGGCTGGCAGAGAAACAAAACAAACCCACTGGTACAGAGACTGCCAAGCGTACGCTCCGCGTATCCTTTCGGGACCCTGAACCCCAATGTGAAATAAAACGGGGCATCATGAAACTGACCGAACTGATTACTAACCAAACGCTGTTCAGCGTAGCTCATATCTGAGGTGGCATGCGTCGGTTGGATGCTTGCGATCACTGGTCGGAGCTAAATTTCACACCTCGAAATGACAGGTGTCAAGACTACTTACCACCGAGCCTTCCGGCACGTTCAATATCACCCCTTGTCATAATTTGTGCATGTTCAAGTCTCAAACGTAGCTTATTTCCTGCTAGAGCAATGAAAAACTCTCTATCGTGCTTGGTTTGGGAAGTTGAGGGTCCTAACGAAGATGCAAATTCGCGTTGAATCACGGAAGCTTCATTGTTGATTGCTTTTTCGAAAGCATTGAGGACAAGATGATTCGCACGATCCTGACGAAAGAATTAAGCAAGCATTTGATACGAAATTGGGAAACATTCTCACTCCAATGCAATGGACGTTCTTCAAGGTAGCCGGTAGTTATGACATTGTTTTCGATGAACTCAGTATGCAAAATAGCGTTCGAGATTGATGGATCTCACCGTTTGCCAACCCTAAAATATGGGTCAACTAGCAATCAACCTGAACTCGGATGACTCACATTGGCAACGAAGCTTTCAATCAGACTCGAAATTGTTGAAGGTGGGTAAATGAGTGTTCCCCTGGTATTGTTGTTATCGAAGTATGGTTCAAATAATGCGGCACCAAAACTTCCAAGAGCACCTTGGGAGAAACGATTTCAAAACTGAAACTGCACATGTCGCAAGGGGCAATAAGTTACTACTACCATCTGAGAATAACTTTACGCTTCTCATGGCCAGGTTACCACTAGGGTGATCAGCAATAGGGTGAATTTTGTCGCCCCAATACTCGGAATCGTCCAAATGCGCCATAAGGTAGAGGCGAATCTAAACTAAAGAGCTTTAGCTTTGCGAGTTGCCAAATCACGTTGGCTCACAGGCAGGAGATTCTGATCGGCCATTCTATCGCAATTGGGATATCTCAAATGTCAAGGGAGTTCGTAGACAATATGACTGACCTCCGGAAAAAACGGATCATGAAAGGATATGTCGACGCGTCATGAACTGGCAGCTCCCAAAGGTCGTTGAATTAGACTTGACCTATTTCGCCATAACTTACTGGAGGTGAGACCGAATCTGACTGCGTCTCTGACCGTGGTTTTCAGAAATTCAAACATTTGTTCCTCGTTCCATTCCGGCTTGATCGCCTCTGGGCATCGGGACGACAAATGAGTCTCCCATCAGCGTATTCCTAGCTGGCGAGACACACCAACAAGCGCCATGGCATTATCAACAAATACTCCTTGCATGGATAAGATACTTCAAGACCATACTTTGAACAGTAAACACAATCTCCTACCTGTTGGGTTGCCGAGCCCATCCCTAACAATAATGCCTCCATCAACTTCGCTTGGGAGACTATCACGCAACAGCTCCAACACTTTAGGAGAAACCCACAACGCGTGGACATCGACTCGATAAAGAACAATCAACCGGTCTCGAAGAACGGGCTAAGCAGATTTATGAGGCTCCCAGTTAATTCCAGCATAGCAGGAACAGTCCCACTTCAACTCACACTATCAAGAGATTCCTTCGATGTGTGGCTTGTCAGTTGAAGTGAATGAAGATTATTAAGTCAACCAACAGAGGTAGGATAGTGCTGCTCTGGCCACAGATTCTGGTCCCATCCATAGCCTTCAATCCATCCATTACTGGAAAGATCTGGATGCGACCGGACATAATCGTGAGTACGCTGGACTACCTCTGAGAAAGTGTCAATATATGGTGTCAAATGGAGTAAGGGTCAGAAGCTTACCATCGATCGATGAAGCCCCAGAGAGGGACAACTGTTTTGAGGATCCATAGCCTAACAGATGCTATGAAGTAGCATTATCGTCTTAGGTGGCATCGTCCGTACCGAGGACATGTGCATGAGAATCTGCGAACCCGGGATACAAGGCTTGATCCCCTCGTAGAAAGTAGAGTTTAGCACCCATGTCGGGAGACAGTAGATTCTTCAGTAATGATGGCCAAATCGTGACCTCACCCCCCCATTTCCGTTTCATGTGCGTAAGATCCCCAGTGTCAACGATGTTCGTTCCTGAGACCATGACACATTCCACCTCCGGGGCAACATCGTCAAGAGTGTATATCTTGCTTCCTTCGGAGATGCAAACACCATAAGTTTTTGGAAGAAGCGTAGACCTTCTGTGTCGCGAATAAAGCAGGAGTATCCCAACGAAGATAGCAGAGAAAATTGTGCGGAATCTGGCGCGTACGTATTGGACATTTGCACTCTGGCGTGAATACAGGTGTTTTTTCGCATCGATAACTTCCTTAGTGTCCACATGTTGGTCCTTCATGCCGGGCACGCCCCGTCGACGTCGCATGCAATGAAACCAAATCTGGTATTGGTAAGGTGCCGGCAATTCAAATTTACTACACGGAAGCTGCCGAAGCGCTTGAAATCTCCATTCCTGGGCCACGACTCTCATGTGGGTGAGATGCTGACAACAGCGGCCTGTCGCCTTGTATGCTTAACCCATTGCCTGCCAGGTCCCGACTGATAGTGAAGAATCTCCCCTCATACATAACAGATGCCCGACTCCGAGAGCATTTCGCCTCCGCACCGTCAGCCGGGGGCCATGGAGCCCGTATAACTGATGTGAAGCTAATGTTCCGTCAAACGGATGGCGCGCCACGTAGGTTTGCGTTTATTGGCTACAAGACCGAAGAGGATGCTATGGCAGCGAAGGAGTACTTCGATAGAACATTCATTGATTCTTCCCGAATTAGCGTCTTAGTTATCAATTCGGTGCGTGTATTGGTTTGCGTTAGTTGTGGGAAGCTTTTTTGTTCACTCAAGTCTGTACTAAAGAATAAAAATTTCGAGAAACCAAAAAAGAGACAGAGGGTGGACAACATGGTATCGCCCAATCATTCAAGGCCAATAGAGAAAAGCGCTGCGCAGATCCAGACGCCGTCCAGCGGCGAAGGTGTTGGACCCCAGGACGAGGTGTTGTCCGAGTTCCTTCAGGTTATGCAACGACGCAACCCAAAACATCGGTTATGGGCAAACGACGATCCAGGGGTAAGTCTTTGCAATGTCCAGCGTAGATTAATTGACCTGAGGCTACTTAAGGTGTCTAAACAAGTTCAGGGAGAGGCATCAGATAAATCTCAAGCTTCCACCTCCGCCGAAGTGCTGGAAGATCCACATGATCCCACCTTATCTGATCTTGAGTGGATGAGAAGCCGAATGGCCCGCCACGCTCTATCAGATGAGCAGCCAGAAGCCTCAAACACACATGGTTCCTTGGAAACAAAAGAACCGGTCGACGAACATGTTGATGAGGTGCCCCCACAAACTGAAGATTTTGGAAAGGGCACTGTAAGACTCTTTCTCCGCAATATCCCTTACTCTTGTGCGTCTTCCGAGCTCGAAGCTGCCTTTTCGAAGTTTGGCCCAGTTGCGGAGGTGGGTGATCCATGAAGTTCCTTTCTCAGCCTGCATATCTTACCCTTATGCAACAAGGCACATATACCCATTCATCCTAGAACAAAAGAGTCGAAAGGCGTAGCTTTCGTCACTTTCACTGACTCCGAACATGCCAGTGCTGCGTACAAAGAGATGAATGGGTCGACTTTCCAAGGCCGTGTATTGCAGGTTTTTCCTGCGGCGGAAAAGAGAGGGGACACTGGAGGCGAGAATAATTTATCCTTAAAGGAAAAGAAGCTTGAGGATGCCAGAAAGAGCGCAGGGAAATATTTCAATTGGGCTACACTGTACATGAATGTCAGTGGAGCACATTCGGGCACTCCAACACCTACTAAGTGTCTGCCAACTAATTTTCCAGAGCGATGCCGTGGTATCCTCTATTGCAGACCGATTTAAGATCGAAAAGGCAAACATTCTCAATCCTGACTCAAATGATGCAGCGGTGAAGTTAGCTCTGGCTGAAACCCACATCATTCAGGAGACCAAAAAATTTTTGGAAGATGTAAGTAATGGCCAGTACCAAGTTCCCCACCTCAATTTTCTGATACACTGCAAAGCACGGAGTAATGATGGATTCGTTCAGGTCGGCACCTCGCAGCCAAACAACCCTTTTAGCCAAAAATATTCCGTATGGCACCACCGTTTCGGAGTTGAATGGTTTATTTTCTCCCCATGGCGAGATAACTCGACTTTTGCTGCCTCCCGCTGGTACGATTGCTGTCGTAGAATTTGCACATGCGGACGAAGCTGCGAAGGCTCTACGCGCTGTGGCCTATAGGCGGGTAGGGAATTCAGTTGTGTATCTTGAGAAGGCCCCCCTTGGGATATTCAAGGATGACGCTGAAACCGCGAGGCAGCGGACGGAATCCTCCGTTGCGGACACCCCGAAGGACGAAGTCGCCGGAAGCTCGCCTGAGTCCACATTGTTCATCAAGAATCTCGCCTTCGCCACAACGACTGAGAAACTTAGAGATACTTTTGCGCGTCTCCCATCTTTTATCTCTGCCCATGTACAGACGAAGCCTGATCCGAAAAATCCTGGAGGTACTCTTAGCATGGGATATGGTTTCATTCGCTTCAAGGACAAGACTGGTGCGATGAATGCTCTCAAGAGCATTCAAGGCTTCACCCTTGATGGCCACTCGCTTATCGCCGATCATGCCAAGAGAGGTGCAGATGATACAGCTGGAGGCGACAAGAAGGCCACTGTTGGCAGGGCAATGAGTGCCAAGTTGATTGTTAAGAATGTGCCCTTCGAAGCAACGAAGAAGGACGTTTGGTCATTGGTCAGGTATGCCCAACGGTGCTACGGTTCATGTTCACGTTTGTGTCGAACTTATGTTTTCTCCTTGATTATTCAGCGCCCACGGTCAGCTCAAGTCTGTTCGCCTTCCCAGAAAGTTCGATGGCGGGACCCGTGGATTTGCATTCTTGGAGTTTGTTTCGCGACATGAAGCTGAGAATGCGTTCACGGCACTCCAACACACCCATCTTCTCGGCCGCCACCTTGTTCTCCAATGGGCTGAGGATGGAGAGGACTCTAAAGAAGAAGCCCTGGAACGAATGCGGGAGAAGGTCAGAATTGGCTATGGTGACGGCAACAGCGAGCTACCTGGTAGAAAGCGGAAGTTTGACATGGAAGGTGGCCTGGAGGGTGATGACTTGGATGACCTCGATGATTGAACGTTTACATACGTAACAGTCTAATAATTATTTGATTTGTGGAGCAGTCCCAGTAAAATCGGGTTCACGCTTTGATCACCCGGATCCAACCGTTGCCTCTACAGGTCACGTTTGGACGCCCCAAAAAATAATATTTAAACTTCTCCCAGAAGCGGAATATCTAGCTAGCACCCTTCTCCATTGTGGACTCTGCCAGTACGCTATTCGGGGCTGTCTCTATTCTTGAAGCAAAGCGTCAGGTGTCGTGGTCTTCTTCTGTGAGGGTTTGGTGCCACTGAAGACTGGAGGTACTGTACACGTCGCACGTATTTTCACTTGCTAGTCTGTTGATCTAGTATCAGACTGGACGTTGGATGGCGGATACACCAAAGAAGTCATTGCTTGAACGCCTCGCGCTCCCTTCCGAAGGACAAAATAATGTAGATTCGAACGACATTCCCCAAGACGATAAACTCGTCGAGGAAGAGCCGGGTCATACGATGGAAGTCGAGAACTCACTTACTGATGCTCATAGTGCTGGAAGTCCGCAACCACTCACTTTTAGCGCTTTCAAATTCTCGTCGTCGTTCTCTGCACATGGGCCTACCCTTCTGCAACGGATGCGTGTTCCGTCATCAGTTTCATCAGTTACTCCAAATCCAAATATCACAGCAGCTGGACCGGGTGATGACCACAATCTTCATGAGGCGGACTTGACATCCAACCCCATTTCCTGCAATGGACGATCAGATGCTGAGCCATTGGCTATTGAAAGCGCCTCTCCAAAAGAAGGCCTTGGAGCCTCTCCTCCTATGTTGGAGGGCTCAAACTACTCAGATTATTTACGTGATTGCTCCACCCCTGCTTCGATTTGCCCAGGAACGACACACTCGCCAGAAGGCGACAAAAATGAGAGCGGAAATATTAAAGACCCCCCTGTTTTGCAGCAGTCACCTATTTCCGATTCTCCAGTGCCTCAATCAGAGGCACCTATCCCTCTGCCCAATGTTTCCTTGCCTCTTGATGGCCTGTCTTCTATTATTCAGCCGGATAATCAGCCAGATGGCCTTCACAACTCGCCTAAAGACTTAAATTCTCCATCATTGATGGATATTGATAAAACTAGCTCGGATCCCATCCGTCCAGATTTCTTCGCTCCAACATTTCAACACGTCCTTTCCAACTTATCGGAAGAGAAGATTCTCTCCATATCTGCTTCTTTCGAGGAATCGACCTCGTTCACGGATAAATCACATGCTCCGCGCCCCGACGAGAAGGAAGTAGCGTGGACTTTTGAAAAGGCTTTCGGCCCTTCTGCTTTTAGTGACCTGTTCGCCGAAGTTGCAAACGAGCAAAATGAATGGAATGAGCTGCGGTCAAACCGGGTCGCAGTATCACCGTCACAAAGTGTGGGCTTGCAAGGGTCGAATTCTGCGGTCCTAGAAGCTCACAGCGAGTTGACTAAGTCACCGAGTGTCCTACATCAGTTGTTCAACGAACAGGGAGGCAATGATAATTTGGTCGACACGGGTCCCCAGGTTACTCAGGACCTAGCTGCGATGTCAGCCACGGAAGTTGGGAAGCCGATAGCAGCCACCACTCCTGGTTCAACCCTCCAAAAAATTGGAGAAACTAGAGCCTATAACCCTCATTTGGACCAGCAAACTCCTGACCCGTGTCCTGCAACGCAGCCTGACGGCCTACGCGAAGACAAGGACGTAGCACTGTATCTTCCCAGTTTATCAGACTCAGGTAGACCTTTTGTTCCCCTCAAGCCCGTGAAACTCGCTCCGCTTCCGATCGTTCGTCTGGGGTCCAGACGACTGGGCGAAGCCTCCCAGAGGGATTCGAATTCGCTGGTCGGGCTTACTCCTGGTGACCGCCACTCCACCAAACCCTCTCATTCAATTGAGTGGCCATGTCTTGTACGCAAACTCAGCAAGTTTGAAACGGACGAACTCCTAAAGACCGCGACCATCGATCGCTCTGGGCTATATTCAGCTAGGCGGAGCAACGAAGTGGCCAGGAAAAGACGTGGTCGCATCTCCCCCGTCTCTACGCCCAAATCAAACACACCGCCGGCGAAGCGACAAAGATTATTTCTTTCTTCTTGTTCCTCTTCGCCTTCTCACACTCTCGCACTCCAATCGACACCGCATGACGCGACATTAAAGGGTTCCATCACGGAAGCCAGAGAGGGCGGTGCAGTTTCCAATGAGCAAATAATAGTCCCCTCAAATCAGTCAACTTCAGCAGCATCCGGGCAACTTTACATGAATCATTCAAGAGAGATCAGTCCACCGAACAGAGACGATGGCTTCCCACGGCCCGCCGGTTCTCGCCCTCACCAGGAGTACCGGGATGGATTGAAGGAGCCCCAGGTACTGACTTATCCTTCGCACCCAGATCCGACGACCAGTAGTCAATGGGTTACAATCAAGGATGATGGAGATCTAGATAACGAGGATGCAGAACGTTCCACCGAGGAAGAAACCGACGAACGTGACGAGTTAGATGGAGATGAAGACGGACCCAAGGCTGCTCACTTACTTCCAACTGACACAGCTAAACCACCTATGTCCACGAGTACAACGTTACAACATGATACCGGCATTCGTCGGCCACTCGAGAATGACACCCTGGCAGAAAATGCTTTGAGTTTGGCGTCACTCAGGGGGCCGCACGCCTATGGTGACCCTGCTGTTATTCGTGACACATCCCGTGCTGCCCTGCTGGATCATTTGGCAGTAGATACGGATCAGGAGAAATTGACGCCTTCGGAAACGACATCTCTCTCGGAATATGCTGAATCCGGAAACGCATTCAAAAAACGACCAGGATCGCCGATTGATTCTGGACTTGGTATCGAGAACAAGAAGATGAAACTAGCTGAATCTCCTGAGTTCGAAAACTTCCCCGAGGAGGCCACCAGACTTGGGCGGGCTGGATCTCAGCGCATTCCTGCTCTGCCGTCTGATATATCAACCACCGAACATACTGTCGTTGGATCGGCCCCATCTCACAGTGTTCGACGACTGCTCGCTGGACTTCAGCGTGCCACAGGACCTCGAGGAAGACCACAACGAGGTCGCTATCGCTCCCGCTCTCCGTATAGAGCAGACACCTACATCCCCCGCCCCCCCTCTCATGATCGTCATTATTCACGGCCCAGCCCCCCGCCTCGCTACAACGATGAGCGGCGCTCCTCGTATCGTCGGTCGCGCTCTAGAGAACGGACAATGGTCCCAAAGTTGTCATCACGCAGGACACCACCTCGCGCCCGGACGCCACCCCGCGCCGGCACACCCAGTCGATCTCGTGACCGAACTCCGCCAGGACGCGATTCTTTTGAAGGAGAGCATGACGGCCGTAGGGCGCTCCATTCATACCGAGTATCTGAACGCGATCGCCCGTATCTTCCCCATCGGCCGCATGAACCCCGCTATTCGCGCAGCCCTCCGCCAAGAGGGAGATCGCCTGCAACCCCAAATCAGCCCCGTCGTGCAGCTGCTCGGACTCCGCCGAGGGACAGCCGCCACAAGCCATCTATCGAACCTCAGGACAGGATAGACGCTCACGATGTTGCTCGGGAGAATATTCCGAAGAACATTGACCAGCGCTCCGACAGCGCTTCTTCGAGTTTGCCGCGTCTCAGGGAGCCACCCTATATTGAGATACGTTCATCCAAGCTAGCATCCCAGTCCGGGACTTCACCCTCCGATGGCAAAGTTAATTCCAGCCACCAGTCCGTCCAACCCAGAGGCACGTCCCCATCCACACAGCCCACATTTCACGATAAATCCTCGAGGGTCAGAGACAAACCCACCTCTCCAACGCTCAGCGCAACACAACACACACCACTGACCGGTTCTATCCGTAAAGGCCAAAAGCCGGACGAACGAAATCCCGCCATTGCACAGCCTTCAAATCCCTTAGCCGTCCTCCTTTCACTTCCTGAATTCAAAGGGATCGATGGATCATCGGAGAGGGGGTCGTCTTCGACGCAACTCAGCCGTGTACGACCCCGCGACAACCCCCAAGATAGTTCGCTCATCCACAGGGTGGCTCCAACCTCCGCTAAATCCATCAGAGAGCCTACAAAAGTCACTAGTCTGGCTGAGCGAATGGAGCCTGTACCAGCTACAGGGCCAACGTCTCATTCCAGCCCAGCTTTGCTCAGTCGCATGCAACTGCCAATACATTTACCATCACGACCGACCTCGATTCCTTACGCCCAAGAATCTGAACCACATACCACATCCACTAGTGAGCTCTCCCTGCGGCAAAGAATAAGTGACACGCTTCCGCCGCGTCCTCCGGGAGCTAACCCTTTACTACCGTTGTATGAAACCCATGGCGCTCAGAGCAGCACCGCGCACCATCCGGACTCCAGCACCCCATCTTCTCAAACCCCAGGTCCGACCATTTTTGACCGACTTGCGGAGTTCTTACAACAGCTGCCCAACCGCGGGAAAGCCAGGGGGGTCCCACGACGGACACGGGGTCCATGAATGCTTGTTCCCCGGGAGGTAAGTGTGAGAGTGATCAAGTACCCTGTATAATTAACGTCCCATACCTTGTTTCTACAAATGCCCTGACAGCAACTATATCCGGTTTCAGCCTTAAACGGGTGATTCAGTTACATGTAGACACTTTATTTCGATAGATATCCATAGCGGCATAGAGACCATAAGAATGATGAATGGCCAGTCATCTAAAATTAGTAGCGAATCAGTTACTCCATACAATTCTGAATTGACAATTTAGGGAAAGCAGATCAACTAATAGCAACTGCTGCCGACAGTGCCGAGAGAATTAAAAAATGAATACCGTTCATCGCAGATCGACAGCTATGTAAACCTTCAACCAACGATCTTCTCATCTCACAATGTCTGAGAGATTCGAACATGAAAGCACAGGAAATTTCGGCAGCAACGCAGGTGCCCAAGACTCAAGAACACTATCTTTAAGGGCCCAGAAAAGCACCGTGGTGGGCCCCCTACTGAAACTTGCGGCCGACCTAGCTGGATATCCATGCCATCGATGTAGCATCTCTGCGCATTTCACTCAAATTTCACTGCACTTTTCTACAGACGGGTCGGTTACCACTCTAGGCTGCAGGCGCTAAAATCATAACTCCTAATTTACATGTAACTGATTTGCTACCATTTTTGGATGGCTTGGTGGAATTCCCGATTTTTTTCTGCTCCCCGTAACATTTGCAACATGGTCTGGTCATTGCTTTCATTCCTTGTTACATAGATCCTAAATCCAGAAAAAAAGTAGATAAAAAAAGGGAAGTGCCAGCAAGCAAAAAAAATAAATAAACAGGCAGAGTCCGTTATGTTGTGTGAGATCCATGGAATGAAGAAAAGATCAAAAAAGCAAAGATTTGGTATATGTAGCAAACCAAGATTCTGCTGATCAGGCAGAAAGGTGATCTCAGCCTAGAAAGATTATTGGACCCCCACGCGCGCGCGCAGCGATTTCAGAACCTTGGTTCATTGTCCTGAATAGCCCCGACCACCTTCCCCATAGGATGAACCAGATAGAGCTCCTGATGGAGGGTCATACGGGTCCATGTAAGCGCCTTCGCGTCTCCCCGACTCAGTGCTCGTACTCTCCACCGAAGGAGGAATGAAAGCTTCAGAATCTTCTCCTTGACTGACATCTCGGAAATGTGTAACTCCCCTAGGTGGGGTCGTATGGCCACTGACGCTCTTGTCTTGGCTCACGATAGGCGCATAGATCGAGCTGTATGCACCACTCGATCTATTCGAATGGTAATAGGAAGAGCGGTTGGAAGGCGGAGTGTAGTATGTGGAACCTGACTTGGACTTGGAACGTCTTCGGCGACAGCAGATGATGATCCCGACAGCTGCGAGGAACGAAAGGAATGCAGCACCAAGTGAACCAAGAGCGATAAGAAGCGTTTGGCGAGTCGACTTGAGGCTGTTGACTTCGTTTTCGAGCGCAGTCAGAGTGCTGTTGTCACCATGGATGTTGTACTTGGCAGTGTCGTTGTTGTCGGTAACCGATAATTTATACCCAGGAGGATGAGGAATGGGGACGTTAGGATTCAGTTCGGGGTTGAGGCTCCCTCCGAACTCAAGAGACAGCTTGGTGACGGGGGAGCCTGGGAAGAGAACCTGGTTCGTTCCGCAAAGGGATTCATCGACGGGCAACGATCCATTGGCAAAGTAATCGTGGATGACGTGGAACGTGCAATCGGAGTGTTCAGCGAGTGATGTATGACCAAATTCGCTCTGCTTCACGATCACAGCGTTCGCTTGGGTAAGGAGGTCCGCAACCAGCTGTGCTCCCGCGTAGGGTGTGATAGGGTCTGCTTGATTTCCAATGATGAGCATCTTGTTCTTCAATTTTGAGTTCCATGGGCCAGTGAAGCGCTCGGTGGCACGAGAAGGCCACTTGTGGCACCAGAAACCAGCATCGCCGAATATAGGTCCAACTGGAACACGCAAAAAAAAAAAAAAAAAAAAAAACTTAGCGTCCATTTTCCGATCAAGGGTGAGAACTGTAAACTCCCAAACTTACACATCTCGGAAACACTCTGTGACGCCAAGACAATCTCTCCAAAGACATCGCCTGTTGTGGTATTCCCTGCATCGACCGCATCCGCGCATGTTATCGCCTGAAAGGCATAATCATACGTGCTTGGATCCGAGTCCCTCTTGCCCAGCCTCTCCATGCGCCTCCTTGCAACAGGATTGCTTTTCTTTCTCCTCAGTCCCAACGGACCAAATTCTGGAGGCGAGAACCACGAATCGACCTCTAGATCAAAGAGGTCGATCGATCGTAAGCTACGCTTACTTCCACCACCGGATAAGAGCTGCCCAATCGAATAAAGATCAGACGCCAGTTTTGGCCAGCCCGTGGGAGAATACATTGCGTGGAATATCATGTTTCGAATGGCCGAGGAGCTCGTCTCGGTGCCTCCACCTTTGTAGTAATCGTACGCTGCGTCCATGAGGCTCTGAACCCATTTGGTGATGGTTTCGTTGGTGCTCCCCTTCTCGGCAATGGCGCATCCTGTAGGGCCCGCCATGGCACAAGCACCTGCAAAACCTTGGAAAACATTGGGGGTATCTTGTATCGCAACTGTGGTATGGAAAAAAAGCGAACAAATGTTGAGAGAGATACAGCAGGATGGGATCACGCGAGGACTCACATTGCCAAATTTCGAATGCGGGATGGGTGGCCCACAGAAGCGTGTTGACAACACCGTCAATAATAATATGTCCCACGCGGTCAGGGAACACTGGCAAAAAAACGCGGTCACAAGGAGGTAACAACCCATCCGATTTAGCAAGCATCCTCCAGGATGTCAATGATACGACTTACTGTTCACGAGGTAAGCGCCGATCACCGTCCCATAACTGAAGCCCCAAAAGTAGACCGGAGACCCCACGCCATCATAAGCATCCGCCATGGCGATGATGTCCCTCACGACCGCAGCTGTACCAACGAATTGGAGGTTGTCCCCGTTCATCTGCAGACACAATTGACCGACTTCGCCAAGTAGCGAGTCAACCTCGGGTTCTTGGGCCCAGAATGCCACCACGTCAGGGTCAGTTTGATTAGAACTTGTGAAGTTCCCTTTTGCTTCGATGCCACTACAAGTCATCGGAGACCATGAATGAGTTAAAAAAAGAAAAGAAAAGAATCTGGAACACCTTACTTGGAGACAATAGTGCCGTTCCAGAACTGATTTTCATCATCTGTACTGTTGAAGCAGTCAATCTTGGGCATGGTGGTACCAACCCCGCGAGGATCAAAACCGACGATGTCGTAGTATCCACCTGAGGAGTACAAGGTCAAACTTGGAGAACGCATTTTCCAAAGACGATGCTACGTACCGGTCCTATTCGCTAAATCTGAACCCATTCCCAACACGAAATCGTAACCACTTCCACCAGGGCCACCTAGAGACGAGAGTTATCAGCGATGAGCATTTAACGATCCCTGACAAGTTGAGCGAACAACCTGGGGGGATCAATGCATAGACTATTCGCACTAACCTGGGTTAACGAAAAGAGACCCCCTCCTCTGACCGGGAGCGGGATACTTGACCACGGCAAGCGTCGCCTTCCCCCTCGACTCTTTTCCTGGCGTCCAATCCAGCGGCACGTCAAAAGTGCCACACAGGTAAGTCGGGTCCTCCACACATGGGCTCCATGTAGTATTCTTCACTATGGGACCGTAGCGGTCGTATGCGACTACGGTTGGTATCAGGGATGAGAAGAAAATTGTAGTTACAACGACCGCCCAGCGCGTGGAGAAATGCATGGAGGCAGAGAACATCGCCCTCGGCGTAAATGACACCACGACTGGATAGGAAAGAAGAGGAGCTGACTGATAACGGGGAAGGAGAAAATCTGCCATCGCGTGCCTTTTGTAGGGGGATTATTTCGTCCTCACGCAAAACACATTGAATGAACCCTGTTCAAATTCGGAGGCGGTGCATTGAACCTGAAAATTCCCTTGGCCATTCAAGAAACAGTGCACACAGCCTCTGAGGGTTTCGTTGGGGACCGCTCTAATTGGAGCATTCCGCCTGACATGCCATGGCTGAAGCAGACGGACACGAACGATGCGAAACTGTAAGCGCCCATTTTGTCTTGTGAAATGCCAATGAATTACGCTACTTCCGTTTTCAGAAATCGGACACAAATTCGGATGAAAACCTGATGGAATGTACCGAGCTGCATTGCCTATTTTAGGCATAATCAATTACCGTCAGGGGCGGATAGATTGCGGTGCTTGTTCACAAACTCTTGTTTGGTCAATGTTTGGTGTCGTTGCGGCGATGCAATGCGTATGAAAGCACGGCCACACATGTATAAGGTTGAAATATCATATCTTGGGGACTTCAGGCCGCACCCAGAAAACACGGTCCCCGAGGATTACATCACACACCGGAAAACCTTATCCTGACCGCTTAAGTGTTGCGCCACGATGTAACCCGACGGCCTACGTGGGGTAATGAATGGAGACCAAGAATGTCCTGGGCGCTGTTGGTGGGTCACCACACTGAGTCGTTGCTTCCGTCATTACCAAGATCATGTTGACCTATTTTTAAGCCATGGCAATGCGCATATCTATATCTATATATATTATAGACATTGTACCCTGTTCATGTGCTTTGTGTTTCCATCTGTTGGTGGCCATATTCTGGAACGCCGTTACAATACCAACCCTATTGTTTTGGTCTACAATGTTATCACCAATGTCTTCCCCCCCTTCGTTCAAGTATCTCCGCTGAGTGCTACATAACATCACCTATCACAACGATCAAAATAATCGATAGAAAGCCCGTATACAATCTGTCCAGTCAAGGACAGTGGCATGAATGGATTTCCTTCCAAGGGTCCATTGCTTAAACTATCGATGCATGGAGCTTCGCAATGAGCAAGGTTAATAAAGGTTCTCACGTCTCCGGGACGGGCAGCTAAGTTGGCAGTACTTCGCCTCTCCTTGCACGCGTTGCCCAGGACTCCAGCTTCTATGACTTCGTAGTATTAGATAGAGCCGACGCAATCCATCGGTCTTATCCAGAAGGCCGATCTAATTGACTACACTCACATCTTGTGACCACAACCATCGACGCTCTTGCTCAGTGCAAGCTGGGCGTACATGATACACGCCACAGACACCAAACACCCGGATACTGCAACACACCGAATGATCGCATCCTCGCTTGCAACCCACACAAACACAGGACATCAACAGAGGAACAGAGGTGAGTTCGATATTGCCCTGTGCAAGCACCACACTTGGGAACCTCTCGAGACCCAGGGTCAAGCTGATACAATACATACAGTAATAGCATTAGGTCTCCATTCACACGACTTCTAATTCCACCCCAGATGTGGACAAGCGCTGCATGAAGCGGTGTAGGCTCGCTAATATACATCGAAGCCGATTGACCCGAGTTAAGATCCGCAATGCAACTCCAGAACATAGGTATATCGAGAATACAACGCCGCCAAATCGCAATTTCAGTGGACGTGTGAGACATACTCATGCTCATTAACTGCACCTCTCAGCCATGCGCCGACCCAGTACAGTTGTTGCACAGGCGAACTGAGGCTTTCCAATCGCAAATTCCAATATGAGGATTTTATGCGAGCGGGTGAAAGAATAACCGCATCCAGGAGGCGATGTTTCCCAGTATATATGCTTGGGCCAGGTCACACGGATTTGATTTGTTTCCCTTCAGCCATAAAGTCACCGCCCCCCGTCAGAAGAGATCTTCAGGAAGGCATCAGAAAGAAGAAAAGCCACCCATTCCATTCCTGATGCAGATGCCGTGATGCCGTCGTGATTCAGTGACACAATCAACGCTATAATAGGGTGGTTCACGGTTGAGTAAATTCGTCTAAAGTGAACCTAAAGTGAAATTTCTGAAGTTCGGGCAAACTGGATCTAAAGCGTGACTTTAGATCTTTTTCAACTTGGGGCTCAAGAGCCCCAATTCATGTAAAGTCACTCACCTCAACTGCCTCTAGACTCGGCTTTACTCCCCAGTAAGTCCGTGAACCATGAGAAGTCAAGTACTGTACAGTTTCTCAGCCACCTTGGACAACCACTATGTGGGCCTTTATAGGGGGGACCTCAGGACATTTGCATGGGGCCTAAAAGGCCTTTTTCACTATAAACATCCTAGGACATCCTGGCCATTCAGTTTCATTCATTTGTTGCAAACGTCCTCAGATGTCCTAATTCAGTTTGATTCAATGGTTGCAAATTGTCCCGGAATGCCATACTCGTCCATCCCATGGTCTGTGCACATGCTGACCACTGTCTAGAGGGATGTCAACACTGTTTCCCACGGTCTGAACACACTTTACATAGTTGAATAGCCCCTTTGAATAGCTTCCAGAATATATATTTTGAGACTGAATTGACCAATAAATTATTGAGAAAAACGCAAAATACTTTTTTGGACGCGAGTCTTTTGATGGTGGCTGTCCAACTTATTTAATGTCTGTGCACAATGCTGGTCACTGTCTGAAGAGGTGTCAGCACTGTTTCCCACGGCCCCAACACACTTTACACAGATAGATAGCCTTTGAATAGCTTCCAGAATATATATTTTGAGACTGAATTGACCAATAAATTATCGAGAAAAACACAAAATACTTTTTTGGACGCGAGTCTTTGGGTTAGTGTGGCTGTCCAACTCAATGTCTGTGCACAATGCTGGCCACTGTCTGAAGGGGTGTCAACACTGTTTCCCACGGCCCCAACGCACTTTACGCAGATGGATAGCCCCTTTGAATAGCTTCCAGAATATATATTTTGAGACTGAATTGACCAATAAATCATCGAGAAAAACGCAAAATACTTTTTTGGACGCGAGTCTTTTGGTTTAGTGTGGCTGTCCACCTCATGTCTGTGCACAGTGCTGGCCACTGTCCGGAGGGGTGTTCAGACTGTTTCCCACGGTGTCAACACACTTTGCGTAGTTGGATAGCCCCTTCAAATAGCTTCCAGAATATATAATTTGGGACTAAATTGACAAGCAAGTTATTGAGAAAAATGCAAAATACTTTTTTGGATGCGAGTCTGCTTGGGCCACTAAATTTCACTGACAGTTATCGAAGTCATCGAAATTCCCGGGTCACTGATATCCCAAAGACTCGTGTCCAAAAAAGTATTTTGCATTTTTCTCAATAACTTGCTTGTCAATTTAGTCCCAAATTATATATTCTGGAAGCTATTTGAAGGGGCTATCCAACTACGCAAAGTGTGTTGACACCGTGGGAAACAGTCTGGACACCCCTCCGGACAGTGGCCAGCACTGTGCACAGACATGAGGTGGACAGCCACACTAAACCAAAAGACTCGCGTCCAAAAAAGTATTTTGCGTTTTTCTCGACGATTTATTGGTCAATTCAGTCTCAAAATATATATTCTGGAAGCTATTCAAAGGGGCTATCCATCTGCATAAAGTGTGTTGGGGACGTGGGAAACAGTGTTGACACCCCTTCAGACAGTGGCCAGCATTGTGCACAGACAGTTGAGCAGCCTGAGGATTGTCATGGGAAATCAGATTCAATTGCGGCATTATGTTTTGAATGTCTACCCTGAATAATACAAATTTGATTGAATCACAGAAGCATTTGATTGAATTTGATTGAATTATAGAATCATCCCAGGACATCCTAGGACGTCCTGGGGACGTCCTGGTGTCAGGGCACACCTGCCTGACCCGGCTCCACCCGGCCCAACCTGACCCGGTACCCCACCGGTCCACCCTCCCTTACCTCCTCCCCCTTTCCCTTCTTCCCCCCTCATCCTCCCCTCCTCAGTTTCTCCTTATCTTACTTCTTCTTTATTCTCCCTTTATTCTACATGGACGACTTTCTCTGTATCAATGTACAATTGACCCATCTGCAGCGCGCCCACCATGTACCCGGCCCGGGCACCTCGGGCGACCTCCCGCTGTGCCCAGCATGCGCACCTGCACCGGATACCCTCGGGATCTCCCACGGAGACACCCAGGTGGTTATGGCTGTGTGTGAGGGTGACGTGGCACCTGTCATGTGATCCAAGCCGCATGTATATAAACGAACCTGAAGTGGGAACCGAAGAAGTAGCCTTCTTCTCAACTTTCCACTTCAGGTAAGCAGTACAATATCTCTCCTTTAATGATAATAACAACTTTCCACTTCAGTCTAAGTGGCCAGGGACCACTGTCCCACATCGGGCCTGTCAGTACGCATGCCCGATCCGCCCCCTGCCAGGCTCTCGGTCCCGGACGCTATACCCGGACCCCCTCGACCCCAGATGAGTCCCTGACACCTGGTGAATGGATCAGTCTTCACCAGGATGTCCAGGACATCCACTAGTCAATACCCCCTTTTAGGCCCATTTGAAGGCCAAACGGCCCCCCCTCTATAGGCCGTCATTAGATGGCTGACTAGGCTGTTCTCAGCTCAGGTCACCTGCCCTCACCGTCCGCATTCCCATCACATACTACTGCATCGGACTGTTGATGCCACCAAAACGAAAGAACCTTGCAGAGGGTGTTACTCCATCTCAGCCACGGCCTGGCCGCCGTCCACGCATGCCCAGGGATGGTGAGGCTGATGCCACACTGACCATTGTCAAGGCCGAGGCTAAGTCAGAATCAAGGCCTCCGAAAATCCAATGGGATTCCAATGAACGCTGGACTTACCGCTTGATTGATTACCTCTCAAATAACTTGGATGTTCGACTGAAGATGTTCAGTGACTCAGTAAAGGATGCAAAGAAGCAGTCTCGTAAAAAAGTGAGTATTCCGACATTTCACGGACAGCTTATTGTTCACCGTTACCTAGGTTGTTGGTAGCAAGCCTAAGGTTGAGTATTATCGTGAAATAGCCAAGGCAGTTTTTGATGTCGAGGGTGAGGGTGAGTGTGCAGTGTACCGAATGGAGCCTGAACGTTATGCAACATCTGTTATGGGTCGGATTACCTAGTAAGTCATCTCACGGTGCCTGCTTCGGGCCATCTGATGGTTCCTCAACTATAGTTTACAAAAGACATATACTGCATGTCGCAAGATGCTGAGGAGTACTGGTGAAGGCTTGAAAGATGAAAACCTTGGTGATGTGGGGGATTCTGAGTCTTACCATAACCAGTTAGGTGAAGTGTTTTCCGATTATTTCCATACTACTACTGATGTTTTGGATTCAAGAATCAATTCGATCATTTTTTCCTTGGTGGGACACACTGAATGGTTGGTCCGAGCATCCCAAGTACGCATTTCAGATGGTGTCAAACTCAGTAAGCGGTGTTGAAAAGATGGTTGGCGACTTGGAGCAAGCTGTCTCCAGTCCTGCTGAGCTTGACAAGCAGGTTCTGGATGAGGAAGATGAGAATGGTCTTGATTCAGTGAGTTTGTGTGCTTTAATCCCCCTTTTTTTCAACTAATGGCAAGTTTAATTAGGTCCGGGGAACTACTTCCCATCCACCCTGTCACGACCCAGCGTTCCCCGGGGCCAGACGACCTCCTCCCTGACCCTCTCCCACGCCCGAACACTCCCCGCACACTCCGCTCGCCGCCCGTCGCCGTCTAACCACTTCCCGCCACCTCTCCACAACCCCTCTCTTGATTGTCGTTGAATGACCTAGCGGCGCAGAGCGCCGCGACCTGTTGTTCCATGCTTCGCTGCACCTTGTTACCTCGCGGCGAAGGTCACGCTTGACCTTCGCTGTCGTGAACACGTGCTCTTTGTTTGTTTTCCTCTTTCCTTTCTCCGCCCGCAATCTCCGCGAGATCTGGCGACTTATTCCCCATTCAGTTCCCTAGCGCTTATATACAGCTTGTAGCTAATGCTTGTACTGTAGTTCGAAATCAACTAGAATTACCCCCTAGAGCTTACCTCTGTCCCCGCGAGACCTCTGACCTTCTAAGTATCGGGACCACGTCGAGAACGAGGCGCAACGCTCCTCCTAGAGTCGTTGAAGCCGAAATCCCGGCTCACTCGCCTAAGTAGCCTCGGCCTCGAGATCGGTGGGGTTTATTCCTCGCTAAAGCTCAGTCGGGTGTAGGACGCCTTTACCACTAGCGGGCAACGCTCGGTCGCCTACGGCTACCCTCGGCGAACCTTCGCACGGTTCTGACACACCCTCACTTTCCAGGTCATCTCCACCTCTTGAATCTCCGATCTTGTTCCAACCCGGCCCACTTCCTCACATTGATCCAGCACTTCTTGACATGGAACCACCACTTTTCCGCATGGATCTACCACTTCCCCATGCGGACCCACAGCTCCCTGATATCAAGCCAGGGCTGGATTTGGAAGATCCTAGCACGCCATCCCAAACCTCTTCTTGTACATTGGCACGGACCTGTTAGATACTGATCCGGGGTCGGGCACCGAAGGTCGCCGATGCGGACCGCTAAGGGCCACGATGGCCGCGATGCCTCAGACAAGGCCCGAGGGTAGGGCATTTGGCCTCAGCAACTCTAAAGGGAGTGCTGTGCCCCCTAGTTGTCTCTTGGCCCTCATTTCGAACTTACTGGGACTGCCTTGTTGGGGTCAGGGCTTGGGGTCGTGGTCAAGTCGATATTAGAGCTAAGGTACTATAATGTAGTATACAGGATATATATATGAAGGTGGAATGAATAGAAGCGGACCCGGGCCGAAGGCCGAAGGGTCTGGAAGCAAATAGGAACAAAGAGCGGGGTTGGCCGCACTGCGGCCGGCAATGACCGAGGGTCAAAACAAACAATAACAGATAAATAAACGAAGGGGTGTAGGGCCGCGATAGCGGCGATGGTATCATAGCGGAGTAGGCGATGTCGCGGAGTCACGCTAGGTCGGTACCAGAGGCGGACTCGGGGCAGGGAGGTCGGTGTGGCTGTGGGGGAGTCGGCCAAGTGTAGGGGAGCCTAGGGGCAAGTGGGGGAGTGAGCAGGGAGTCCTCAGGGAGGACAGGGCTGAGGTCAGGGCTCGCGCTCGCGCTCGCATAGCGGGAATGGGCTCGGGCGGCATCGGGACGGGCGGCTAACGGGCCGGAATGCACGGTCGTGACAGTATCCCCCTCTTAGGGCCTGAACCCTTGAAGGCCTAAGAGTGGCGATGTCAGGAATGCCAGCTACAGCACAGCACCGGAGTCGGAAGAGAAAAAGGTGCAAGATGAATGCTGCCAACATCTTGGCAGGGGCTTGGTGTCCATAAAAGGACAAGGGCACGGTACCTTGCTTCGGTATCCAGTCAGCGCATGTGGCACCGAGTCCGGAATCAGCAGAGGGTACGGCGGAGGGTGTCCCTCAAGGAGACAAAGTCGGAACGCCGAAAACAGCGGCATGGAAAAATCAGAATGCCTCAGGCAGAGGCGAAATTGGCGCGGGATTGGTGTGGTGCTCAAAATGGAAGTCGGAGAAGGAGTCGGTGATGATGGACTGGAAGGTCAGAGGAGAACAAGCTGGTGGACTTGTCTCTCAACTCAAACTTGGCCTTCCTACCATGCTTCCTATGAGTCCAGGGATCCAGGTAGCGGAAATGAAGTGGCCTAATTGGCCCAAAGGGTGCGGAGGCGACAGATGGAGGCCGGTTGGGCAACTCACATCATGTCCAAAGGTTCAGGGGTGCGGCGCATGGAGGACAAGAGTCCACTCAACATGACCGCGGAGTTCGGGGATGCGGCGCAAGGAGGACAGAAGTCAACTCACAAGGTGGCCACAAGCGGAGGGGTCAAATGATGACACATGGGAGACCACAAGTGACTCTCATAGTGCCCGAAGGAACGGAGTGTGATAGAGTTCCCAGCGGTGCGGCAGTACAAGGCACAGTACTGCTGTGGCATGGTGCAAACTCATCACGGAAGGAAATGGTGAAGTTGAGACGAGGTCCTCAGAGTGCTGGAGCACAGGCCGAGGGTAAACTCGCTCAGGGTGTTCAGGTGGTTAGCCTGCCAAGGGCCGGGAATGCGCAGATTTGCGGCATTTGGTATGAAAACTCGGCTAAGTGGCAACGGCGTTACCAGGAGAACAGGAACACAGGACTCGGGATCCCATTTGGTGATGGCACAAGGAGGTACTCCATGCCGCTATGTTGATTACAGCGAAAGCGGCAATAGCGGGATTGACGGGATGGAGTCCAATGGCCATTTGGGGAATCGGAGTCAACTGGGGGAGCCAAACAGGCTCGGAGCGGGGTAACTAGGCGCGGGTGGAGGAAGACATGTAGTCCTCAACTGGGTTACAAGGACCCGGCCAGGTGGGTTTGGAACCGGTGGTGTTGTATCATCAGATACGGGCTCAGAGGTCATTGGGGGTTGGGATACAGAGTCAGCCATACTAGGCCTTCTGCAATGACTGTCCTATGAGGTCGGGAGAGGACTGTAGGGGTGTGCACTCAGGCACCGAAGGGTCGGGAGTGGATAGGGATGATGTCCGGGTGGTGAGGGAGGATCGGCGTCACGCACGGGCTTGCTCCAGGCTAAAGCGGTGCGGTGGTTGACAGGACGACGCGGCGAAAACTCCTAGGTGAAGACTGGTCATAGGCCACAAGTTGTTAGGCGCGGAGTCCTTATCCCCCTCTTAGGGAAGACGTCCCATCGTCTAACTATGCTTATAGGCCGGTACCGAGTCTCCTGGGGACAGCGGCGGAACATCACAGTGTCAGGATAGTACTTCAACTATTATAGCTGAAGCCGGAGGGTGCGGCGCTATCGGGGTAATTCCCAATAAACTACCACAGGTGTTCGGGATTCCACACACAGGCAGAATAGCAAAGGTTCTTCCTCAAAGTCAATCCTAAGGTTAAACCCATGATGAAACATGGTATACCCTCGGAGTCGGCAGAGAGGTCGACGGCGATGGGGTGTTAGCCCATAATACAAGGCCGGTGACGGCCAGATGGGGTGTCAACCAGCGGTGGTGAAGCCGGTGACCGGTAAAGTTGGAGGGTGCGGGGCTTGGGTGCTCAGATGCTCAGGATGTGTGGCCCATAACGTCAATCACTCAACGGAGTATCATGACTGGAGTCCATGATCCTAGCGGTAGAGCGGTGAAGTCCGGCAAAGCGGAGTAGAGTCGGAGTGGAGTGTTTGGGGTTAGACTGGGTGCGCCGTTATCTAGACGCGGTATGTTCAAGAACCATTGCTCAACGGAGCCTCAGGGAGAACAACCTTGTCATAAGACAAGTGGGATCGCGGCCCATCCAACAAAATGATGACAAAGCATCGGCGAAATAGGCGAAGGTGGGTAGCCAACCAGCGGTGTGATGGCCGAAGGTGACGGGGAAGACTAAGGGTGGAAGCGGCACAAAGGCACGCTATCCCGGGATGGTATACCTAGCATTACTAATGGAATGCCTGGTGGTCAAAGTGCATACGCGGCGAATCGGCTTGAATGCCAACCAATGGGAGTACTGCCCAAAGGCGGCTGGGGGTGCGCGGGGGTACTAAACTGGAATACTCGGACGTTCAGACTAATTTACTTGCTCAAAATCCTGGTCGCTCAACGGAGCGAGGTGGGTGAGTGTAGTTGGTGTCCCAGAAACGGTAGGGTAAGGTCCATATAGCGAGGTGACATTGGAATGTCCAGATTGATTGCACCGGTAGCGTAGCGGGTTTGATAATTGTTGCGGGCCTGGATACCGGTGTGCCGGTAGTGCCTCTACAACAGTCGAAGTGATAACCGGCAATGAGCCAGATCATCGGGGGGTGACAAAATCCTCAAAAGCGAGGAGACGGTGGCCGAAAAATCGGCGAGAGGACAGAGTCCTCAGACGGAGTGGACGGCGTTCCCAAAAAGGAAACAAATGTCCCAGAAGAACAGAAACGGAAGCAGAAAACAGAGAGACATTGAAAACGAGCGACATGTTTCAAAATGGA